CAAACCAGAGGCGGTCGCTTGGGAATTTGTTGATAGAGGGAGTTGGGGCTGGTCTTCGGGAGGTTCAAACCAGGGGTGGTCACTTGGGAACTTATTGACAGGAGGATTTTGGGCTGGTTTTGGAGGGCTCAAACCAGAGGAAGCTTCTGCTCGGGATTCGGAGGATTTAAAAAAGAGCTTCCGCAACACCTTGCGCAAGCAAAGTGCTTCCGTGAGCTTCCTTGCGCACAGTGGGAACCGCTTTTCGGAAGCTGTTGCCGGCTGATTTCCGAAGTTTTTCCGTACCTACATAACTTTCCTCTAGCGCCTAATCATTAAACTGCTCCCGTGGGCAATGGGACAGAGTGATGCCCGAGAGACTCATCAACCATCGGAATGCATCATGGCTGCACCCGTTCGCAAAATTTGGGAGATCCCCAGGTTGGGCAGGAACTTGTCGATGTGGTGATGGGAGAACGCAAGCCATCCTATGAACATACTTTTGCAACCATGGACCCATATCCCGAAACTTCTAAACCACAAACCGTAAATCTCAAAATTTACGCAAGATCCAGACTGTCAGATGGAAGTGACAACTGTTGAGGATCTTTTGTAAGCCGTGCGCGCCATGCAAGCTTCTCGCACAGGCTTCGCGGTCTCACTGACCAGCTCCGAGAAACGGGGCACTTAATGTCCTAACAACGGTAGACCTGAAAAGCCTCAACTAGAGAACCTTAACCTATACTGTATATGTATATGTGTATATTACAGTTGACTCTGAGGCTAAGTGGTTCAGGTCTACGCGCTTGGGAGCCACATCGCAGGGCCCGCGGATCCTACCTCAGTGGCCGAGCTACGACTTCAAGGTTCAGAGGTTTAGGGTTTAGGATTAGGGCTTCGGGTTCAGGGTTGAGACGCAGAGTGAAGGTGGGATTGTGGGTTCCGGATTGAAAGGCAGTAGGGTCTTAGGTCCTACGATCCCGCAGGACTACTGCAGGTCCTCGAGATCCCTGACAGGATTGAAGAGATGCTATAGAGCCGCTGTCTGAGATGTGTCCAGTAGATATGAGTGGTCAGAGGTGTTTGGCGCGCTTTACGGCTTTAAGGCATATTTATGCATTAGAAGGGGGTGATCTTGCTAAATAGTTCTTCAGGCCTCTACATTGAAAAATCCAGGTTCTGGCAAGGAGGAGCAAGGCCATTTCTGCACGTATCCGATGCAAAAACTTCTGAAGACTGCTTAGAACGAGGGAGCCACCTCGTGGCAGAGCATGTGGGGGTTGAAGCCCAAAGCGTCCCAAATCCCATGCAACCACAATGATAACTCTGAACGCAAGGCTGCTCATGGGAGGAATAACTGCTTCGGCTCTTCGGAAGACCCAAAATTACAGATTGTCTGTGCGCCGCATCCGTGCGTCCTTGCGTATATGAGCAGAAACTTAAGGTATTTGCCCCAAACCGAATGAATTAATCCCATTCCGACCATCTGACGGTCCTATCGGATGTTTCTACTGCCATGACTGATGCTTCTAACCCTGGAACCATCTGAGCATCCAAGCCCTCACAGCTTCGTCATCTCTCAGAATCATCTACGATACAGATTTCCACAGGACATCTGACCATCCCAACTCCCTCGCACCAGGCCATGCCATCTTACCTCTTCGCGACCACTTAGCAAATTAGCAGGTTCGGGCCCCTTTGCATGGCGGGGCCATCATAGAGCTCCCCATACCTTTGTGGACGGTGTAAGGGCTCAACGATCAGGCCCAAAGAAGTCTACAGTGTAGAGCATTGGGGCGTCAGGTGCTTGAGACCGATACCCAAAGGTAACCAAACCTGAATTGTGAGGACCGCGCTTTTCGAAATTCTCATATGACAGGTGTTGCACGCCGAAGCACAGTGCCGTTCTGGAAGAGCATAGCCATCAAGGCGACCATTGCCAGTCGTCCATTCGCCAGCCTGGAAGTATTTTGCTCTCAGGTCTTTGGTCGTAATGCAAATGTAGTACCAATACTTATGAGTCCGCAGTAAAAATTCCAAGCCAAAAATGCAGCGAATCTATAGGAAGGGCAGATATCAAAGGCTGTTCATGACAGCATAAGGCTTGCAACTACAACCGGCGGGTCGTGCAGGTCCTCATCAACATAAAGTTAGGTTACCCGCAAGAGCTATACGGTCTCGAGCACTGAAAAGACGCCTCAACACAACTCCGCCAGTGTCCCGAGGGATAAGTACGCTTATGGAAAAGCATAAATGGGAGGGGCAGCTGCAACTTCGTGAGCCAAAGAAGCTCCATTGCATGCACCTTCTGGGACCCCCTGCTGCTTTCGACGTGCGGGAGTATCTGAATCTCTGGGGCCTTGTTTTGGTTGCTTCAGATCATCAATCCCCAAAACCGATTCACTTGAATTGGGGAGTTTACCATATGCCTTGCTTGGGCAACTCCCATCTCAAGGCATTGATCCAATAGATCGTTCCCCAAGCACCCTGCGCCCCTAGCCCTCCTCAAGGCTAGTGCCTGCAAGCATTACAAAAACCTCTGTCACCCACAACTTGTAAAAGTGAGCCCTGCGCCGACCAATTAATAACGATAGCACGGGTTGCAGTAAGCAGCAGCAGTAGTCCTAACCCTCAACCTCCAAAATATCAACAAATGGTAGCTTCCATTTTCTTTTCTATTATCCCAATACAACCCCAATACTATCCCTAAATCAGTAGTTTCCATTTTCTTTTCCATGATCCCTATAACCCCAACACAAAAGCATTCAGGTCCCAGATGCTCTGCAGACAGCTTGGTCTTCTTGACCTCCGGATCCTGGAACTCGATGGGGTCAAAGTTGAAAATAAAATTCTTTCCTGAGGCCGGATGAGGGGTGGGCTTTCAAGATCAGGCTCAGATTTAGCGTGTGGGATTTTGGGGCTTGCTGTTGGGCCTTGTCTTGCGGTCCTGTATAGGGATTCAAATTCTGAGAAATCCCCCTGTGGTGTGGTGCGGTTGGGCTTGGGTCTGGAGCATGTTAAATGAGAAAATACATAAGGAGATGAGGACTGATGTGAAGAAGTATACAGAAGCCCTTAATAGGATTTCTTACAGAGTGAAGCCTAGAGATTGTCTAAGGATTCCTGAGAGCTTATCGAATTCTCTTGAAAGAGTAGCGGGGAAATCTAGAGATTATAGGGGCTAGATAGACACCCTAAACCCCAATCCCTAATCCCTAATCCCTATACACCCCATAGTCTAGGCCTAGGATCAGCCTAAAGACTAAACCCTAAACCCTAAATCCTCAACCCTAATCCCCGAACCCTATAAACCTCATAGTTTAGACCCAGGATCCGACTCCTAGGAAGCCATAGCCTTCGTAGTCGCCTGGGGCGCGCTTGGAATCCTGCGTGCTTCAAGGCATGCCGAGGCTACAGTAGGGTTTGATTTAGGGTTACACAGGGATGGGATTAGGGTTTAGGGTATAAAGGGGTAATATAAGGATTATATATAGGAGCTATATTGGGATGACGGAAAAGAAAATGGAAAGTACAGTTTAGGGTTCAGGGTCTAGGGCTTTGTAAGGATAATGGAAAAGAAGCTACATCAGAATCGGGTTGATATTGGAATGATTGTAGGGAATGTGGGAGTTTAATCCCTATGTAACCCCAACATAATGTCTTCCCATATTCCCTGCTAACAACCCCTAAGGTAGGGTTTCGGAGTCAGAGGGTCAGGAGGCTGGGCGTTCAGAGTGTTGAGTTCAGGTGAGATCACTGCAATTCCTCCAGGCTTCTCGCACTCATGACTTTGGTGACGCATGGCTTATGGCTCCGGGCACATCCCACAGAATGCAGCCAGTAATCCTAAGAGCAGGTTGGGGCTACCTCGGATCACACTAGCACACCCACGCTGTACACATTCATGTTAAGAGGGAGGCATGCTGATGATAAGGGTTGCTCTCGCTGATCTCCCTAGAGTTCCGATTTAACTGCGGGTCTTCTTCGGGTGTAATCACCACACAAAGCCGAACTCTCCACGGAGCTCTGTGAATGGCAACATCTAATCCAACTAGGGTTCAATTGATCAAAGTCGTGATTCGTGATGTGTAGGGTGGCATGTCTAGGTCATTGGACATGTAAAGTGGACCTTCACAGTTGGTGATGCTAGAAGACGCGCCCGTTCAGTGGTACCTGGGCAAGCAAAGAATAAGAACAGCACTGTGGCAATCATGCTCCACTTCCATCTTGTTACCTGGCGACTCGGTCCTAGATTGAGGGAATGGGAAGACGATGCATGTTCAGGGTGCCGGGGCCTAAATAATCGGAATTTACGTTTTAGGTACCTTTTAGGTACCATTGAGTTACTATAATGTTTCTAAGTATCTTCACATGCAAACTTTTGGGGAAACAATGCCAGCATTCATGCTCTCAAGCAGCGCTCATGCGGCTCATGAAGGCACACAGACCAAAGGAGTCTAGGGTTTTGGCTTCAGGAGAGAATCTTAAATCCCAAGCTGTTTTGAAGAGCACACTCAGCCCTGAATCTTAAGGCATAACTCCTACATCCTGAGACCTGAAATCCAACTGCCCCCCTGAGAGGGCCTGGCGCCAGAAGTAGCCCTCATAGTGGCCGATGAACAGCACGATCTGCAGCCAGCCCTCAAGAGGAACCTGCACAGTCAGGGACTCGGATTTTGGTTTAGGGTTTAGGGGTTTAGGGGTCTAGGGTTTAAGGCTTGTATGATTTCAGGTTACTTTGGGCTCATGAAGTTGGAGTTTTGAGGTTGGGGGGTTTCAGGTGCTGAGGGTTTGGCATTTATTGCCTGCGCTTGGAAATGGCATCAGGCCGGCCATGAGGAGAACAATGAGAACATGACCCATGAATATGGTAGTTTCCCAAAATTAGGGGTACCTTTTTGGGGGTCCCCATAATAAGGATTATAGTATTTTGGGGTCTGATTGGGGTCCCCCTATTTAAGGAAACTACCATATAGTTTGATCTACTTCCGAGATTCTTTTCATCATTCTATTCCAGTCTATCCTTTCCGGATTGCCCTTGATCAGGGTCCCGTTTAATTATGGCACGTCTGAAGTTCCTCAAAAGCATGAACTGCACAATGCTTGAGAACTGTTTTCATGAGGGGCTCTTGATCTCTGGAAGCCTCTAGCATCGTGGCATTTTGATGACCCTGTCTGATCTGCGTGCTGCAATGAGGTGTTCACGACAAAATCCTTGTCTGTGTGCGACCTGTGTCATACATGCAAAGAGAGACCCACAACTGTTACGAACCCTCATCCCAGGTAGTATTGCTATTCAATTCACGGTCCTGCAAGTGACCCCTGAACACCACCCGCACCAGCAGCACCAGAGAACTCTCCACGTGCACTCAAACCATAACCAAAACCTGCCTGCCCGAACCCTAAACCTAGAATTGTCTTGTCCGTCCCTCTTGAGTTCTCTATAACTACCCCCGCTGTAAAGGGGGGCAACCTTGGGAGGTTCCTTCAGCCTTCAGCCACCACCCTAAACCCTAAACCCTGAATAGTAGTTTCCATTTTCTTCTCCATCACCCCCAAAACATCGCCAAAAGGACATGGTAATAATGTATGCCCCAACATAGCATACCCTACCAAGTCGACCTGATACCCCACATACGATAGGCTTGATATGTATGGCGCGACCAAGCAGACGGATAAAAAGCAACAATGGTAAAGTAAGAGCGGTAATAGCCGTAGCAAGATCAATGATAGTAATCGTAATGACAGTACTGGTCATAGTCATAGTAAGAGCAATGATAATAATAGTAATTGCAGTACTTATAATCATGAGCAGCAATGGTTAAAAAAAAACAATGGCAGCAGTGGCAATTATGTATGGTATGCCCCCAATGGACCACCCAACATACAACCTCACCGAAAACTGAGTAGAAACCCTACATACATACAACAAAGCCATTGGGTTCCGGGTTTAGGGCTCTACACACATGCACCCTCTGTACCTAAACCCTAAACCCTAAGCACACCTTGGAGATGGCGGCGATGCCGTGCGGGACCTCAGAGAACTTGATGCCCTTCTCGGGGGACCTTGGCTGAGGATTCGTTTAAGGTTAGGTTTTAGGACTGAGGGCTTAGGATTTAGGGCTTAGGACTTGGGGATAGGGTTTAGAGCTTATATATGTATACAAACTACCCCAGTTTCATTTTCCATTTGACTCCCCAGTAACTCCCCATTGTGGTGACTTACATGTAACTTACATGGTAGTAGCTTGAGGGGAGTCAGAGCCCAAGCCGCCTCCTTACTGACGCTGTGCAGTTCAAAGATTTCATGATTGCTTTTATTGCAGACCAGACAGAAGCAGTTTGAGGCCTCACTATGGGCCCTAAACCTTACGTCTACTATGACAGGGATTGCACCTGTATTGTTCAGAATGTCCATAGCTACCTCCTATTCTGGAAGGTCTCCGAGGAACGGCATGCCTTGTTGGAAGAAATATTTCAATCTCGCTACAGTTCGGATTACCGATACACGTCTTTTTGGTACTGTAAGTGCCCAATGATCTCTAGGTTTAGAAGTAACCTTCGGCTGTTGCCGTGTCGGAGGGTCATTCTGTATCCTTACTACAACAGTAATCCCGGTAGACCTATAATAAGCAATGTTGTTCAAAGTTCCTTGGGGGCCTAAACCTCCAACAATATTTCCCAAGGGGATCGGAGTGGCTACCGCAACTTTAAAAGGATGCGCATTCCGAGTCTCGAGCTCTAAATTCCAAAACGGCAACCCCAGAGTCATGGCAGTTTTGGTTCTATAAGCCTCCGATGGTAGTCTTAATCAAGCGAAGGCTGAGGCAAGATCTAGGTTCTAAGCTAGTTGTAGGGTCGAGGGGTTTAGGATTCAATTTCGGAGTTAGGGTTCAGTTAAGGCTTAGTTTGCCACGTTTTGGGTAAAGGCCCTGGAGCCTAAACCCTAAACTTTGGGTACTGCCCCCCCTCAGTAACAGTTGGATAATAAGTAAAGTATAGGTATATATAGCCCTTAATAGGACCCCTAATATAGACTGTTACTGGGTGGGGGCAGTACCCAACCTAAACTCTTGAGAAGAGGTTTACCAGCTCCGATCAAACAAACGGAAGCCAGAGGACCTGGGACAAGGGCTCACCAACCTGATGCTGCTATAATTAATCTGAACTCCTAGTAACCCCCTAAATAAACCCTAAACCTCCATATTGTAGGAACCCTATATAACCCCCTATTTTGCCCTATTTAAGGAGTTTGGACTTTTGCTCATATCAGTATAACCACTTTCTCCCGTGCTTTGCCCACAGGATGCCTAAACCCTAGACGGCCCGAAGCCCGAAACCCTAAAATCTAAGGGCTTAAGGTTTAGGATTTAAGGTTTTAGGTTTAAAGTTTGGGGTGGAGTCTTCAGGTCTGTATGAGCCGTTTTGACTGTATGTAGCTACTATGGCAAGCTGGCAAGCTATCAACCCTAGTCCCCCTACACACCTCAGGAAAGCTTTCGATTCCTGTTCTGTTATCTACTAAAACCTCCTTGATTTCAGAAACCTCTACCCTGAACCCTGAGCCCTTAGCCTTGGCCCAAAACCCTGAACTCCTCAATCTCAGCTCCTACCTCCTCCACCCACTAGCAGTAAAAAAAATCACACATCACGAATAATTCCTTAACATAATGTAGGGACGAATTTTCATGAGGGTGGGGGGGGGGGTATTCTTAAGGAGAGGAGTAGCCCTAGCATGGCCCACCCCATCAGTGTCTAGAACTGCTTTGGGCCATTGGGGTTCATAGGCACGTTTATACTCATAATTGATTGCCGTACGTATATAGTCAGTTTAAAGAGCGCGAGAATACTCTCACCTCAGAAAAAATTTGGATACTACAGATGCCCATAGCTAATCAGCTGGTCAGAGCAGAAGCTTCATGTTATCCAGGCCAGAACACTGTCAAAGGGAACCAAATCATAAAGCACCCAGCTTCTCAGACCCGCTAGGGTTTAGGGTTTAGGATTTAGGGTTTGAAGGATCCAAAGGGGGGGAAGCTAGGTCGTTCAGATGGGCTCCATGTGTTGGATCCTGAGGGGGCCTGGGTTCCTGGAGAGCTCTAGCTCTGTAGCGCCATCAACCCGAAACCCGAAGCCCTAAACCCTAAAACCTAAATCCTAAACCCTGAGCCCTAATAAATCCTAAACTCTAAAACCCAAGTCCTAAACCCTAAACCCTAAATCCTAAACCCTAAATCCTAAACCCTACAGCCTAGACTCTAAACCTTAAGCCCCTTCAGAGCTTAGGCACAGGAAGCCTGGCCATCTGAAGTACTCCGGGATGATATATCCCACGCAAGCCAGCATGCCTAGAATTGTGCTTGGGGGCTTTTTATGGGTTTAGGGTTTAGGGTTTAGGGTTACTATACTATAGTTATAGTGTTTTAGATGGGAGTACATGATACTGTAGCTCTAGTGTGGTGGGGTTGCATTCTGCTGGAGCTATAGTGCGTTTAGGGGTGGGGCTACAGTGTGTTAGGGTGCATTCGATTATGATTATAATGTTGTTTTTCGAGGGATGGGTACATGATACTGTAGCTATAGTGTGTTGGGGTGCATTCTACTCAATTACAATATTTGGGGGTTGTGCATGATACTGTAGCTAGTGTGTTGGGGGGGTGGTATTACACTACAATTACAGTGTTTTTTTGGCGGGGGTACATTATACTATAGTTATAGTGTGTTGGGGTGCATTGTACTATAGATATACTGTGGTGGGGGCTGTATCATAGCTGTATCATACTACAATTGTCCAAAGTGTAGGGTTGTGGCTGAAAGCTTGACACAGACGATTAGAGAGATTTTTGGGGGTGTAGGTGTTGCAACTCAGACAGCCGGCTTTTCCGTCAGGTGTTGTCTTGGCTTCTTACACCTCATATCACCTCATGTCATACTAAACATGTCTCTTCATGTTGCCAAGATTCTGTGGGGAAGTTGCTAATCTCAATATGGTGCCCAAATGGGTGATTTATTTCCTGCACAGTCTAATGGACATGGGAGGTAGTGAGGAAGTTGGTTAACATCTATCCGGAGAGCTAACTTCATAAAGGGGCTTGAAGAGAACATATACCGAGTATTCAAGAACTACATGGAATCTTTCAGGCTTCGGCATCGCCTTCTTACAGTTCCATGTTCTAGGGCTACTTTTCGAGGACTTTGGCGGACGTATCCACCAATCTTACATGGCATGTCACCACGACGACGAGGAGGACGACGACAACGATGAAACATTTCGCCCACAAATGAACATAGTGCCATGATGGTAAACATAGTGCATGTCGTGAGAGAGCTTCGTGTAGCAGAAATCGACCATCCACTCTGCAATGCTGCACGAATTAAAACGAAGATGCGCAGAAATCGCAGTGCAGGAAACTGTGCTGGAAGCATGCGACAAATCTGCGGCCAGCATAAACGACTGAAATGTCAGCGGGGTGCAGATGCGACCGTGCTTCAGCTCGACAGCTCTTCGTCGCTTGAAGGTGTCCGCGTCGCCATCTGCAGACAGGCCGAGGGGATCCTTGGATGCCACAGGGGACTTACTATATCCTGTAAGCAGGACGGACCTTTGGGTCTGGAAATTTTACGCAGAAATATAACGATGATTTTGCAATCAAGGCTCCCAGAAGCCCACGGGAGCTTGCACACCTAGCTCTCCTGTGGAGATGGTTCTCGGAAATGGCAGTGCGCAATGCGGACTACTTACATGATATTGATGCACTGCCTCAGCCATGCGCAAGCAACACTTCGGTGTCCTTCAAACGCACGGAGAGGCGAGTCGGTGTAATTCGCCCAGTCACCCCACGCCGAGCCTGTGAGTCCATCTTGGAAGAACCTGAACGATGTATGACACGCGCAAAGGCACGTGACATGGTACCATGAGGGCACCGAAATTCTGACAGATATGAATCCAGATATGTATATGCATATGCACTCTTGCACACACACACACACCTACGTGTTGTATGCATGTCTGCTGAATGTTTACTCAATAGCCTCTGACTAATGGTGTAGCACTTACTTCCCAAGGGGTCCAAACCTGACTTTCCCCAAACACGAAGGCACTGCCTGCACACAAAACAAGACATGTCCTGACCGACTGCGATTTTACAGGGCATTGGATATCATGTAACGTCAACTCCAGCACAATGCCATGGCGCATCCAAATCCTGAACTCAGAATTAACTTGCTTTTGCATCAAGAACCCTTTCACATGCTACCGTGAGACAGTCAGGTTGAATGGAATTTACCCATTGATCCCGGGTGTCGGGGATTGGCTTCAATTTCCATACTTGCAATTGCCTATGAACCATCCCGTCTTAATCTATGCGATGAAGGAAACTACTGAAATTATTCTTTTGGCCGAAGTAGTTGGTGGTGTCTTCTCCCTAAAGGAGCCCTGAGCATGCACAGCACTCGCCGGGGCACATTCCGATGATAGCCATCATAGCCAAGCGCCCATTCGCCAACTCTGCCGACAGCTTCTTGCTTCGTGCCTGCTTGCCGCTTATGTGAATTCAACGTCTCAGGGGTAAGGAGAATAATAATAGCAATAGTAAAAATGAGAGTAAGAATAGTAATTTTAGTAATAACAGTAAAAGAACAATAATATAACAAGGCCTAAACCCCCTAAACACTGGGCTCAATCTTGTTGGCATCAGGGTTCTCAAAGCTGCAGATCTGGGATGTACAGGCTAGCAAGGATTTCGTCTCACAACGCCATGTCCTGGGATTCCGTCCTTGTTTCGGAGGCGAACTCGACTCCTGTGGTCTATGTTCCAACCATGCGATTTTAGCCCGGGAAGAAAGAGGCTAGGAATGTCAAGATTTGCCGCGTCTTCTCGCCATTTGCCTTTCTTAGTTGTTGCCTGTCTTTTATGAAGATGTAGATGGGCCCTGGTGGCTAAACAAGTTGCTGCCGTGTCTGAAAAAGTCAAAGGATCATAACGTCAAGCGTAGACTTTAAGGCATATCTAAGGTTCGGGGTGTGGTACTTAAACTGAGACCTAAGCCCTGCCTGTTGGATATCCACACCTTTCCTTGTTCTCTGCATTCTACTCCTTACATTTGTTTACATGTGTCTTAGTCTTAGACCCTAAGCGCAAAACCATAAACCTTCAAGCTCAGCCCGTAACCCTCACCCCCACATGTTGGATGACATCCATATCTTCGGTGAGCTTTTAATAGCCTTGAGTCGTGTGCATTTGTCGTTTATTCTCCATATTTGTCTTTATCGCCTGATTCTGTCTAGATCCTTGCTAACCACCCTTGGGATCTAGATCTCATACGATTCCCTAATTCTTGGGCCAAAAAAATTAATCGTGTTTGTAGAAGGTGGCCCCGCCCTTTTGTAACCCCAAATGATGACAAGGGTCTCTGTCTGAGAAAGGCTCACATACCCTAGGGATCCAAATAGCCCAATGTGGATAGTACCTACGGACTTTTGGGCCCAATGTAGGTGTAATTTGTATACTTGGATCTCTAGGGTTATAGGGTTATGGCTCGGATTTGAAACTGTGAGGCACTGTGACGTGATAGACCTTACATTGGGCTTAAGGTTGGTCTGCGCGTGCCATGAACCGGCCGTTCGACGGTGACGTGCACACGAAATTCTCCAAAGAAAGATATGAGGTCTAGTCTAAACTCCTAGTATCCCCCTTAATAACCCCTTTAATAGTCCCCTATATAATCCCCTACAGAACCCCTTTAAGGAGTGTAGACTATGGCTCATATGGTCCTAAACCCACATCCCTGCCACTGCCTCGGGGTTTGCCACGGGGCCCAGGAAGCCCAGGCCCAGGTTGCCCTTGCCGTAATTGCCGGGCTCATCACCCACCTTAGGCTCCAGGGCTTTGAGGTGAGGGGGGAGCTTGGCACGGGTGAACCTCAGCTACAAACTTCAGAGCTTTGAAGCCCAGCACCCCTGCAACCCTGAACTCTAGTCATACATCTCGAACTTCGAATCTTACACCAAAGGCCCATACATAAGAGAAGCCCTATATGTCCTAAACCCCGACACTGAACCTTAAGGCCACCCAGGTACGGGCTTGTTGACAAACAGCTCGTAGCATCCCAGGAAAGCAACAATCTGAGCCCATCCCTGGCCAGGAACCTGCGCGCGGTGTAGGATACAGGGTTAGGGCCTAGGGGTTTGGGGGTTCAGCATCTCTTGTTAGGGTCCCACCCTGGTTGGGACGGAGACATTGTATGTGAGTTTCGGACAGGAGGCCCCACGTGACCAGAAAACGGGTCTGCAGAGGTATGTAGGGTTGCACGAGGAGATCAGAACACATGTGCACATACAGGAACATTCTTGTTTCAAAGTTCATAGTCTAGGGCGGTTTCTCGAGCTTCCTATATGGGGGTACACCTGGGGAACAGACTGGTAAGGATGATGTTTTGGAGCCCTTTGAAGGATTATGAAGGGCAAGCACTCGATTGCGACCTTCACATTTTTCACATGCTATTTGCCATAATAAATAACGTCATCTTTCCTATACCGCCAACCGGAGACCCCTAATTTCTGGAAACTCTACTCCCTATAAACCCACTTACTGAACAACTCCGACTTCATTTCCCCTTGTCTTTTCGACTTGATTCGACATCATTGGGGCAATATGCGTATACATCCCCAATATAATGCCTATGTAACCCCCTTTCGAAATCCCTCTACACTTTGCTATAATGCCTATATAGCCCCAAAAGCCAAACCATCCCTGTACACTTGGCTGGGCTTTGTTATGCTTTGTTAGGCATTGGGGTGCCATGAGAGGAATCATCGAGATTGCAGACTGGTTGTTTTCTAATGAGGATTTTTCGGTGTAATATAGGGGAAATGTGGGGGTTGCATAGGGATGCTGGAAAAGAGAATGGAAACTACTACACTATACTTGGGTTTTATAGGATGCGGAGGGCTTGCATAAGTCTGAATATCTTAAGGCGGTGTGGGAGTTTTCCAGCCCCACCCAGACGCTCCTCCAAGAACTCGGCATGTAGGTTTGCCGCATGACTGTAAACCCGCACCAACCCCATACACAAACATTATGATGTCCCAACGGGCTACGCATGCCAACCCAAGTTCAAGCATCTTTTCCTTAACCTTAGCTTAGCGCCCCACCCACTGGTGGTAATGGAACGTGATAGTGGTTTAATTACATTATTATAGCCCCTATATATTCCCAGTAGTTGTACCAATCTTACTGGCTGGGTGGGGGCCTACCCCAACCTAAACCGCACAATAATCCCTTCCCCCTAATACCTCCCTACCTCCCAATATCAAGTACCCGCCTTTTCGTACCGTTATATAACGGGCGAGGGGAGTACTCATTGCGAGGGGGTGGGCAGAGTTTAGTTAGGGGAAGGATGACATCCAAAGTCTGAGAACTGGGAAGGGGTGCCCGTGCCAGCTCTTCCTAAACATACACCCCTTTGCGCTCAATAAGTAGACCAAGTGGATATCCTAAGCCCTCATCCATAAGCTTCGAAACTTCAGACCTAGATCTTGACCCATCGCTACTTGAGCAAACATCTAATCGCTGCAAAGACTTGGGAAGTACCTCCTTCTCGATAATTAATGTGTTTTCATGTCTTCTAGCGTCGAACCATTGGAGCGCATTACTAACCCTTAACCGTGCGGGTCTCTTCTGGGGAAAGAAATTACTCCCCGAAGCTTTGCACCTTGGTCAGCGCAGCAAGGCCGTTGGGGATGTCAGTGAACCTGCAACTCTAAATGGCTTACGGTCTACAGCTGGTATAGCGCGGGGACGTAGGTAGGTGAATGTAGCAAGGCTGCACGGGTGTTTCGAAGGCCCTCTGCATACATTCAAGTCATGTAGAACTCAGCGATCCTCACGAGTGACCCAAAACCTTCAGAAACCCCTTAGGCGTAGCTTAGGGCCTGGGATGGGCCTGGCACGACAAGGCTTGTCCAACGCTGCCCTATGAAAGTCTCAGCCCTTGAGTCTGTAGTTCTTAGAGTATATGTATGGCTTATCCAAGGATACTGGCAAAGAAAATGGAAACTACTCTATTATAACATGGGATGTAGGGGTTATGTAAGGATATTGGAAAAGAACATGGAAACTTCTACCAGAGTCAAGGCTCTTGCTCAAGAAAAGCAGGCATATCACATGGGCTCTTGCATTCTGTATGGGTAGTATTTTTCTTGTTGTTGTTGAGATTCTATTCAGTTGTATACTGTAGTATTTCATAAACCTGAAGCCCTGGAATCCGAAACACTGAACCGTAACCTCAAGATCGTCTTGAACCCCCCTTAGGGCCCATAACATGTCCCTATGCATCCCTATATAACCCCCTTTAAAGGCATCCCGATATATCACTACATATCCTACTATACCCCTCAACCTTACAAACCCCAGTATCCCTCAGACACCCTTGGAAAGGGATTCCATTTCAGCTGCCAAGCGTCTTCAGGCCGAACTTCGGGGAGAGGTCACCGGGCCAACGGAAGTACTCCGGGACGATGTAGCCTCGGGGTCTAAGGAGTGTTTAGGGATGGTAAAGGCTTCTAGGAAATTTAGAGTTTAGGGCTATTAGGGTTTAGGGCCTTTAGAGCTTTTAAAAGGGCTTGGCGTATTCGGGGCTCGAATTCCTGAAATCAGAATCCTAAACTGTAAGCCCTAAGCGTCTAAGCTCAGCATCCGGGCTCAGAAGTGGGTCTTCCCGGTCATACTAATGAATGAAGGACATTCAAGATTTCGGGTTGCCCTGTATACCCTAGATCCTAGGCATTGGGCCGTAGACTTTAGACCGTGCTGTAGGGATCCTAAGTGGCACGAGGTTTACTTCCTCCATCTACCAAGAGTACAGGGTGCACGGCTCAACGTCCCGCGTAGACTGATATGATAACATGGGATTACAGGGAGGGGGTTTTCAAACCTAAACATATATCTACATGCATGTCACACACATGCATATCTATATATATATATGGATGTTGTGTGGATCGTGGGAGGAATAATGCGGGTTTTGACATGTATATATATACATACATACATATACACCCAGATTGCGGAGCCTCAAAGAGATATGGTAGGACACACAAAATGTACACACACGCCTGCATTCCTAAAGAACTCTTTATGCACTCACCACAACTAAAAGAAAGTTCCTCGCTCAAGTAATCGGGCAAGGTCTTGAAATTAGGTTGTATTCACCTTCCTACAATTATAATAGCAACTGAGTCCCTACTTTACAAGGACGAAGCCCATACCCCAAGAAGTGTAAGGGATGTCTGAATGGATCCAGGTTAGGGGCCATTCAAAGTGTAGTAAGGAAAACCAACCCAAGCAACGGTTTTGGAGAAACATCGCCTGCTCAAATCCACTCAGAATTGCACAAGGAGTAGGAGATGCTGTCAAAATGGAAAACCACCATGACTCCATTTTGTACTCAGACCTTTGATATGGGTACCCTAGCTGGTTTCCTAAAGACAACTGGATGGACATTTCTATTTTTCATGACCAGAGTAGGATCTTAATAGCCTTCAGCCCGTCAATTGCCCAAAGCTGAGATTGCATCGAAACCCTACCCTGACCCTACAGAACCCATAATTGCCCACACAAACCAAAGGACGTCTAGTTCCCCTGAAGTAACTAGAATATGGCTTTGGCCATATTATAACAAGATCCCCTTAAACCCCATATTCTATCTACTTCAGGGGGACTATAAAACCCGAAATACCTAAATAACACAGGTCCCATTTTTCCATTATCACATTACAGCCCCAATATTGCCCTAATATTGCCCCAATTTAACCCCACTGTAGCTGGAAAGAAGTATATACCCTGTAATAAGCTAGTAGTTTCCATTGTCTTTTCCATTATCCCTATACATAACCCCAATAATATACCCCATATTTTATCTACCTAAGGGGGACTATACCCAAAACCCCAAACCCTATATAACCTCATATTCTAAAAAAAAGAGGTAAGTCAGCTCCTGGGCCTTAAATTCAACCCTTTGGGCGCGGCGCCGATGGTGGCGTACATAGAGATCCTTCCGTGCCTGATAGGCACTACGCAACGCATATGTCAATGGGATAATGGAAAAGAAAATGGAAACTACTAGCTTATTATAGGGTATATACTTCTTTCCAGCTACAGTGGGGTTAAATTGGGGTAATATTAGGGTAATATTGGGGTTGTAATGGGATAATGGAAAAGAAAATGGAAACTACTATAATATGCTATTTAGGGACTTTAGGTTCTATAGTCCCCCTGAAGTAGATAGACTATGGGGTATATGGAGGTCTTGTTATAGTATACCCAAAGCCATATTCTATCTAATTAAGGGGCTTATATGTCACAAGATGAGAATTAAGTTTCGTCTCGAAATCAGGTGGTGTAGGTGGCCGAAGTAATTACATCGTGGATTGATATCTTGATATTATCCGAGGCTAGGAACGGGATACATAACCCTAGTTGATTTTTTGGAGATATATGGGGTTACAACATCTGACGGACATGGATACAGGCTTTCAGGCCAGTATTCGGGTGTATTCAGCCATGACCGCCAAAAGCATATAAGTCAACTTTCTAGGCTCTTTTATCACAAGTCCGTGTGTTTTGTGTATTCGCATTGGGGTTTGCAAGCGGGATGCGTTTCCAAAATAGGGGGAGACCCCAAAAGACACCCAAATGCTATAATCCTTATTCTAAATAGCGATCCCCAAAACGTACCTCTCATTTTGGGAAACCCCCTTGCGACATGTTGGTTTGCCTCAGCAAGCTACGCTAACCGGAATTCGCAATGTCAAGTGAGGTCATCCACTCCGTATTCACCTGAACAGGTAGTGGGCAATAATATGGGGGTTTCCCCAAAATATGGGAACCATTTGGGGGTCCCCATCATAAGACCCTAGATTTGGGGCCCCCTGTTTAGGAGATTACCAGATAGACTCTAGACCAAATGAAGCACCTTACCCGCGTGCAAGGATTGCTGCAGACATCCGAGTTCAGGAAGAGAGAGAGAGAGAGAGGATGGCAAACTTTGAGAAGCCCATGCTAGCATGGCTATCAGTGCATTTTCGGAGGATGGTTGAGGATGAAGGTCGCAGTTCTATTCCTGTAGCACCCTATACGATCCTTGGGGCAAAATCTCCTTTAAGTATGCCTAAACCCTAAACAAGGGTCTCTTGCTAGGGGTTGCATAGCAGATAGTGACATGTTCAGCTAGTTTGTGATATCTCCAGCCCATGTCTAACTGCCCACGAACCATGCAGCCTTCACTTTATGAGGTGTCCTTATCCTGCAAAACTACTTGAACTTGATGCTCAATGCTGGGGCCCGAGTCAGCTCCTTTGTCCACATTCTACGGAAATCCCATACCCCCTGATCCAATTCTTGTACAGCTCCGAGCGTGCGTTTCTCAAAAGCATGCGCTTCGTGCATAACTGCAAAACACGTAAATGCCCAATGTAGAGTATCTGCAAGACCATCCATTGCTCGTGATTCTGTCCCTTGCTAAGCAGCTACCCCTTCCTAAGCAGCTACCCACCACCAGGCTCGCAAACAGGGACATTTGCCAACCTGTTGAACACCTACCAAGCAGTAAAGAATCCCAGTACACACTTGATAACCCCTGTCCTGGGAGACACCTAAACACCAACGCAAAGTCCTAAGCCTATCCGCCCAACACCTTCCTCAAATGTGACAGGTTTTAGAGGTGCCCAGCATGTACGGCCAAATATATTCCCCTCAAGTAGATAGAATATGGGGTCTATATATATATATATGTGGATCTGATTCATAATCTACCCAAAGCCATATTCTATCTACTTAAAGGGGACTATACTATCATCAGCTTCAAGCCTTGTTAAGAAGGACCCCCAAAAGGGGACCCATCAGAATTGTTGGAAGCCCCAAATGGGGGGTTACCCAACAATTTTGGGTACCTCTTTTTGGGGGTCCCTATAATACGGACTAAAGTACATGGGGGTCTATATTTGGATGCCCTAACTTTGGGAAACTACCAAATATCAGTACTGTAGGCGCCTGAACAATTATCAATATCAATTTGACGCTTGTTTCAAATATTCTGCACCCTAAAAAAAGAAATTCGCCCTATAAACCCCCACATAATCCAGTGTCCATTTCTTTCGCAGTTGATTCTCAATTATCCCCAAACCCTAAACCCTTGACATCTTCTTCTATAGCCCCTTCAAGGGCACCTCAATACCCATAAGATTGGCGTAGCATTTAAGCCCTCACATTCGAATCCATATAGAATCCCTACACCATCCCAATAAAGCACGCATGGAACCCTGTATAACCCAGATTTCAACTCAACATACACCCCAATAACCTCCTTGAAGTCTATAGAATCCCTTTCTCATACCCTAACCACTGAACCCTAAACCCCATACAATCCCTATATGGTAGTTTCCTCTAACAAGGGGACCCCAATATAGACCCCAAAATACTATAGTCTTCATTATGGGGACCCCCAAAAAAGGTATCCCTTATTTGGGAAATCCCCCATATAACCCATACGAGATTCTATGCAGCCAGGATGCTTCAACTCGACCTCGCGGCGGCGCTTGAAGACCGCGGTGTCGCCATCCGCGGAAAGACCCAGGGGGTCCTCAGCTACATGGGGGTTTAGGGTTTCAGGGGGTTTAGGGTTTGGGGGCTTTTGTAGGGGTTACATAGGAATTATATGGGCGTTATGTATGGATTATAGAGGGTTTATGGGAATTACATCGGGATGTGACCCCAAAAATGGAGAACCAAATGGAAAACCACATGGAAAATCACATGGAAAATCACATGGAAACTTGGATTATTGTAAGTATGGAGTAGCTTATACAGATTGAGGTTTCCATAGAATAGATATCCCTTTTTGGGATCCTAGAATACGGGTTATATTGTTTTCGGCTTTGGGATCAAAATTGGGAGTTCCCAATTTACAGGATTTGTAATGATGCTTCAGAGTTTAGGCCTTGATGTTTGCCGGTTTCGGTTGAAGGCTTGGGGTGTAGGGCTGCAGTTTATAACGGGCTTCTTGGACGACATTGCTGGAGTGCTTGCTAGGGAGCACATGGGAGCACGTATATTGTTTTCTTTGACTGTGCTAGGTTTGCATCAAGGGACGAACGTAGAATGGTCGTATCTGGCGCCTCGTAGGTTCAAACTACCCCACATCCTGCAGAAGAGTACATAAAATCTTACTGCGTGCAGAAACATGAGCCCGAACTTCTCCTTAACCCCATATGCTATAGTCTAAACTCCTAGTAGCCCCCTTAATAACCCCTATAATACTCCCATATATAATCCCCTATATAACCCCCTTTGAGGAGTTTAGACTATGGCTCATATCTTACAACTTGCGAGTCTTGACTGCTGCCCAGGCACCCAGAAGCCCACCGGGGCCTGCACGCCCAGTTCTCCTGCAGTGCTGGGGCAAAGGTTCAAAGATGTTGGTGTGCGAGAAGAGAACCCGTATGTAGAACAATAGGAATAATGATCATTGAAAAACAATAGCAACAGTCATGGTAACAACAATTCATTTGTAATAACAGTACTAATAAGAAGAAGAATCACAACAATCGTAAGAGCAAGAGCAGCAGTATTAGCAGTCGTGGAGGCGGCGGCGGCGGCGGCGGTGGTGGCAGTGGCGGCGGAGGTGGCAGCGGCGGTGGCGGTGGTGGTAATAGCAATGAAAGTAAAAATGAAATACACAGGAAAAGCAAACAAGGTTATAGAGACAGCAATGGCAGTTGTGGGGTAAGACTGCTGGTTCCACGCCTGGCTGTGCTGTGGAAAATGCAGCAAAAATTTCAAAGGAATTGTTGCCGGTTGTGGCTTTGGCAGCGGCCATGGTGGGCATTAGTAGTCGTGGTTGCCGTGGTCGCTTCTGAAAAGGAGAATTTGTGGAACTGAGAATGTGGCGAGGCTACTGGTCAAGAAAATGACACCAACTTGCGCAGTAATCAGGTTCGGACAGAAAACAAGCGATTAACTCTACTGAAATCTTGCGATGCAGCTGCAGCTGCATCAACAAGGTGCGACAAGTTCTTGCCGTGTGTGGCAACTCAGATGTCCTTCAAACGCACGGAGAGGCGAGTCGGTGTAGTTTGCCCAATCACCCCATGCCGAACCTGTGAGTCCATCTTGGAAGAACCTCGGTGATGTATGACGACCCATGGCATCTCAAACAAGCAGTAACTTGCTGCGAGGGGCACTTAGATATTGAAAGAACTTGACTTGCTGGGCGAGGCACATGCCAATAATGGCCATCATGGCGAGGCGGCCGTTGGCGAGCTCTGCGTTGAGTTTTTTAGTGCGCAAGGCGGGGTCCTGGATGGAGGCACCGAAGCCCAGGTATCCCAGGCCGAGGCTGCCTTTGCCATAGTTGCCCGGCTCGGAGGTCTTCTTGTTCACCACGAGCTCCAGGAAGCCGGCGAAGGCCAAGATCTGCGCCCAGCCCTCCTTGGGCACAACGGAAAGCGCCTTAAGGCCGTTGGGCACGTCGGAGAACTTCAAGTTGTTGGATGGGGACAGGAAGCCATCGAACTTGTAGTACTCTGGCGCGATATATCCCATGCAGGCAAACATGGACACGCGCCCATGCTTGATCTCGGTCTCGCGGCGGCGCTTGAAGACCTCGACGTCAAGGTCCTTCGAGAATCCGAGCGGGTCCCAGAAACCCAGAGGCGCCTGGTCACCAGTGAGGCCTTGGAAGCCCGTGTTGGGCTTCTCCCACTCGGGCAGAGTGTTGTAGCCAGGGCTCATCAGTCCACTGCGAAGGGGAGAGTCCGTATACAGTGCCCAGTCCCCCCACGCGGAGCCTGTCAATCCATCCTGGAACAGCCTCGGCAAGAAAGCAAAGCAAGCATGCTACTCACAGAATGAGCACATGAATGGCAAAATGGAAAACGGCAAGCGGTCCCGCATCGGTTTTTGCAGTCATCTTCCAGAGGCTTTAATGATCCGTGCAGGTGGAAAAGTGAGCTCAAGTGGCCAATGCAGGAACCGTTTTTCAGCAAAGGAATCCCAGCTGGTCGCAGGGAGAAGATACTAAGGCTTGGTGACTCTGCTCGCGTCTTGTCCCTGCCAGCAAGTTTGCATGATGTGTAGTCCCAATTTGTATTCAATTAGGCCGAAAAAAACAAAAGTTGCACTATGGTTTGTGGCTTTTCTGGTCTACGTTTCGAATATCTCCCAGGAACGATCGTGCCGCAGCTGATCATTCGGACTTACGCGTATACGATCAATGCGGTACAGCAGACGTGTCAACTTCTAAAACCGTGCAAGAGATTCTGCAAGCCGGGTCTGTAGAGAAGCACTTGGGAAGCCAAGAAGGACTTGGAAACGGCCTTTACCGAATCGCTTCCAATCTACTCGAACATGATTCGTTTCAGGGTTTGAGCATGGATGCTGTGGCAACCTCATGCTTTTGAGGACGCGTATTATTTTGGATTAGACATGGTTGCCATGGTAGTCATGGGCACTGGGACATGCATGTCATTATTGTTCGAGCGTGGATTCCGTGGCGATGGTAATGGGGATGGGCGACCATTGAAAGTTTGACAACGTCCTGGCCAGCATGCATTCGCGGATCGCGTACTGGACCAGAGACGCGCTCAACATGAATTTAAAAGTGCGTCGTTCCGTTACGTTAGGTCGGAGAGCTCAACCCTCAACACACTACCAAACATCTTGACCGGTTCCTATCGCTAACACCCTACAACCGCAAGCCAGCGAGCATACCAATGATGGCCATCATGGCCAAACGGCCGTTTGCCAATTCCGCCGACAGTTTTCGGCTTCGCGCCTCGATCGTGGGCCCAGGGGTCAAGGAGGCCAATGAGGATTTGGGCTCATAATGGGGTATATAATATATTATAGGTAATATTGGGGCTATATAGGGGTTATAATGGGATAATGGAAAAATATCATGGAAATTACTATTATATTATAGGGTATATGAGTCGGCACAGGGTTCCTGCCATTTTTGCACGAACCAATTGGATCTTCGCTTGCGGATTCCCTCAACAAAAGGACAGACAATTTCGAGAAACTCCCATGTAGTGTTTATAATCCTATATAACCCCTGTATAATCCCTGTAGGGTGCAGAGTTTAAGGTCTAGGGATGGGATATTATTGGGTTACAGCGCCTTCAAGGTTTATAGGGATTGGGGTAGAGTACAGTGCTCATACGTTATCACGGGGGTGATACAGAATTGGGTTCAATAGAACTGACGTATGGTATGCTGTAATCGTAATAGTACAAGGAGGCATTTTTTTCTAAAATAGGCGTAGCATTGAAACGACTTCACTCAAAAAAGGAGGCTCCGACAACAAACCATGTAAGCAAGGCTCCTTGAACAGTGGTAGTGGCCTCCTAAAACCCTAAACCCTCCTGATTGAGTTTGGGGTTTGAGGGTTGCAGGGACTAGGAAGAAAAGATCAGGCTTCTGAAGCGAATGAATGGAAACAGGCATAGGATTTGGCTGCTTGCACAAAAGGAAACTTTGTTTAACACCTAATGGCACAAGTACCCTTTTGCAGAATTCTCAGAATGTTGCCGCCGAAAGCCCTGAACCCCAAACCCCAGAATCTAGTTGCCCAACCCTAACCTTTCGACCCTGAAAGAAACCCGAATCCCTGGACGCAGTTTGATGTTCCGTTTCCTTTTCCATTTGGGTCTCCATCAATGGCAATTATTTAGGCCCTAAAACCTAGGCCCTGAACCCTAAACCCTATATTTTCCCTATGACCCCCTTTAAAAAACCATTAATTCACGTTGATAAGGATTTGGGCCCTAAACCCTGAGCTCCCAAAGGCCCCCAAACACCCTAAACCCTGAACCCTCAACCCCCAAAACCCTGAACCCTAAGCCCCAAACCCAAAACCCCACAAAATGGAGGCTGGCCTCGGGGTTTGCCACGGGACCCAGGAAGCCCAGGCCCAGGTTGCCCTTGCCGTAGTTGCCGGGCTCTCCGCCAACCTGGTGTTTGTGGGGGCTTTGGGGTCTCAGGGATCCTTAGCCCTAAGCCCAAAACCCTAAGCTCTAAACCCTACAGGGTAGGAGTTGGGGTTTCAGGGCCTAGCGTTTTATAGTGCAAGGGTCTGAGACTTTGAGCTTCAGGCTTTAGATGGTTTGCAGGTTGCGCTGAGGGGTTTGAGAGTTTAGACTTCAAAGTTTAGAGTGACTAGAAATCAGGTTTACATGTTTAAGCTCTCAAGTTCCCAAAAGACGTCTAGGGCTCAGGATTCAGGGCTTAGGACCCAGGGTTCAGAGTCAAGAATTTGGGGTCAGCAGCAAGGAGCAACAGTGGCTTGCCTGTATGCAAGCCTCTCTCCAGGCGTACACCGTCTTAGCTATATTTGGGTACTGCCCCCCCTCAGTAACAGTTGGATAATATTTATAATATGGTTATATATAGCCCTGAATAATAGGACCCCTAATATAGACTGTTACTGGGTGGAGGCAGTACCGAGGCTATATTCCGAGTGAAGATCTGGATGACATCAGAGCTTCCACTGATGCTCTCGGTGGAAGATAATGGGCGCCACCTGGTACAGGAGATGCATTGGGAGTTGCAGAGCCTCAGGGACCTCAAGAGCTGCCAGTCTTCCTCCATCCGGCCCAAAACCCTAAACCCCTCACCCCTAAAAAACCCTTAGGCGCCAACCCCTAAACCCTGAACCCATAACTCCAAGAACCCCTAAACCTTATAAACCCTAAAACAATCTCGTGCTTGTGATCGCTAGCTGTCAGCTGAAGCGAGCCTTACCATCTGCCGCCGTATCTCCCCGAATGTAGACCCCTGATTGATCAGCCCCTCCTTTTAGGGCCTTGATATGAGGATCCCTTTTATAATCCCTGTTAAGGGGAAGGGCTTCTTAAACATGGGTCTACACCACCATCTATAATCACGGCGTATCTTTCGGCCTTCTACAAACAATTTCAATTGTGATGCGGTGGGTCACCTGCGGACAGAAGTCTCACCTTTTTGGGGGGAACCACTACACCCTAAACCCTAAACCCTCTATGACCCCTGTTATCCGCTACAAAGGTGACCCTATATAATTCTGGAAACCTAAACCCTATACAACCCCTATATAGCCCCTCTATAACCCTTTTTTTTTATCCCCCTTCAAGGTACCCCTGATTTTGGGCAACCCAAACCCTGAACTTATGGCCATCCAGTCACTGGCTTGTTGATGAAGAGCTCGTAGGTTCCCAGGAAGGCCACAATCTGTCCCCAACCCTGACCTGGCACCTGCAGAGAAGGTTTTAGGGTCTAGGGGTTGGAGCTTTAAGTTGGGGTTTATTGGTTTAGGGGGAAGTTAGCAGATTCTTGGGGAAGGTGGAGTATTGTCTGCTACAAGTAGGGTCCATGAGCATGTGAAGGCTCCTAACTTCCGAAACCCTCAACCCCCAAAGCTCATTGGATGAAGGGCTTTTGGGATACCTTAGGAGGACCCCCCACCCTGTAATAGCGGTATAATAGAAATATAATCGGACCTAGTATAACCCTTATTATCCTTTATAGTCACTATTACTGGGTGGGGGGTCCACCTAAGGGATGTTGCAAGAAAAAGATGCAAGAAAACCAGGTACAAACATCTCCTCCAACCTTGAAGGTTACTTCCTGGGCTTGTCATCTTCAATCCTGATATTTTCCCATATGGTTGCACACTTCCTTACTTCACATGATTTCCCGGTCATGCCCCCTATACACGAAATTCAAAACCGTGTGACCCCACTGCACCTTGGTCAGGGCCGCCAAGCCGTTGGGGATATCAGTGAACCTGTGCCGCACGCAACGTAACTGGCAACCCGCTTCCCTCCAAAACTAAGAAGCCAACCCTCCCATCTGAAATACTGCCCGAATCTAAAGCCGCGGTGCTTGCAGTATCTATTTTCAAGGGGTTGCGGTGTTGCGGGCTTGTTTATTCTGGTGGGAACCACCCCACCCGAAAAAAGGGAACCTACAACCCGCTGCTTCTGGATGCTGCGCGCATGCCATGTGTCTGTAACTGGTTTGCTGTTATTGAACCAATGTACCGCACACGGGCACTGTACTAAAGGATATGTATATAGCTGTATTGAGCCACATTACGAATGGTAACTTGCATGAAGCGCCTATTAACAGCAACCCAGGTAAGCTGATCTGTATGCCAACCCCTCTCTCACTCTAATCCTCATGCTATTTCCCTTCTTCTCGAGGCACTGATTTGTTCATGTCCAAGGACTCGACTAGCCTAATTAAGCGAACCCTAGAAAATCCCTGGGGAAAAGAGACTGCAGTCCTTCGAAAAGGAGCCATGTCAGCTTCCATGTTAACAGTGGAAACCTCCAAGTCCCAATTACACCTCATCATCCTAACTTACTGGTTCTTAGTGACGGAGTATAGCCCCTACCTAATCCCTATATGATATCCTCCTATGTTCCTTAACAAGAACCAGTAACTAAACTAAGGCTTGTCTGGGTTGCTGTTAAGGAGCTTAATTTAAATCACTATATCGGGGAAACCTTATTAATGTACTATAGATACCCCATATAGTAACTTAACTTCAGTTCCTTAGCCCCAAACCCAAAGCCTATATACCCTATGTACCCTATATATACCCATTATGGTAACTTACTTTAAGTTCCTTAACAGCAACCCAGTTGTGTATAGGTGTAGGACTGAGACTCTATGGTAAGTGCAGCCCCCAGGCTCTCGCAGGATACTACGCTCTGAACTGACCCATCCCATGTTCCGGAGGGACTCCGCAAAAACACTATGACTGTGACCAGGATAATATACTATATTATACTATAATATACTACATTCTGCAATACATTGCTAGACTATAGTATAATATCCTATGTTTTAATACAAGTCACTATATTATAATACAAGATACCATATTCATCACGCCTTCAAAGTTTCATAGGACTGAAGCCCTAGAACTTAAGCTGCCAAATGAGCCACGGTAGTATCCCCCCTTAATCACCCCTATAGCAGTCCCCTATATAGTCCCCTTGATAACCCACCCCCTTTCGGGGATTTAGACTATAACTCAAGTCGCTTCAACCCTCAGGGCCTGAATCTTAAAACCCCCCTAATTAAGGCCCCTGTGTGTCTTAAGCTGCCAAGGCGCTTCAAGCCCTACATATCCTACATATCCTACTTTACTCCAAACCTTACAAACCCTAGTATCCCTAATACACCCTTTGAAAGGGATCCCATTTAAGCTGCCAAGCGTCTTCAAACCCAGCTTTGGGGAGAGATCGCCAGGCCATCGGAAGTACTCCGGGACGATATATCCTCGGAGTCGAAGGAAGCACTTGCGAGCTTCCAAGAGTCAGGGGGACTTAGTAAGTAGGTTAATAACTCCTATAACCCATATAGTAACCCTAAATATCCCTATTATTAACCTACTTACTAAGTCCCCTGACTCTCCAAGTACATCAACCCCTAGTTCCTTCAGAAGACCCTCCATTTTGCACTGTGAAGCTGACAAAAATTGTTTCATACCAGCCTTGGAGCTCTCCCCCTGGGGTTGTGTGCGTGGGTGGTCGCATCACGTAGATAAGTATACTAGTTACTTCACCATGGAAGAAGCCTCTTCGGTCGGAATGAAATAATCGAGAAGACCCTTGCAAAGCTTCAAATGGCCAGAGTGAGTGGAAATCCTCAAGTCGAACCTTTGCAATCTTTCAACAATATAGTCCCCCTAGAATATGGCTTTGGGTATATAACAATAAGATCCCCATGTACCGCATGTTCTATCTACTTTAGGGGGCTATAGCTATTTCAAGACAAGGTCTTCTCGATGTGCCCCGGCCGCCCCCTTTCTCTACAAATACTACACTTAACCGGGTCCGGACGAGGAACATCCAGGGGAGGCTGAAACACCTATTCTCAAACGCAGGGCCCTTTGCAAACAAAGCGACCTATGGTGGCGAACATTGAGATACGCCCGTGCCTAGGCGAGGCGAGGCTAGGACACCTCTTGCTTGAGGTGGGGGTAGGAGACATTTTTTGGGTTATATGAGCTATAGTCTAAGCCCCTTACAGGGGGTTATATAGGGGATTATATAGGGGACTACTATAGGGGTTATAAAGGGGGGTAATGGAAGAGAAAATGGATTCTACTATATTATACGGTTTATTGCATTGGTTGAGTCCATGGTTCCTCGTGATGCAGCAGCTTTCAACGTGGCAAACCCCTGGAACGTAACTTCTGCAAGCCCGACACCCAATTTCAACCTTCATCGTTTTCGGCCCTAACCCCAAGAAATATTCTGACTCAAGACGACCACCACCGCTGCCATCAGCACCACATCTACCTTCTCTTGTACAAGGATACTGACCGACTCTGTCATGCAAATGACATCACCTCCTCAACAGAGCAGCAAAAATTGAAGTGCTGCGTTTAAGAAAACGGCCCGACTTCATCTACTTGTCAGGCTCCGAACGTGACCTGCTGTAGTGGCAAGAACCGGAGCCCGTTCACCGATCAGTCACAAGAAATCCCAATTCTAAGCCCACTGAACGGTAAACATAGGCAAGCCTGATACTTACCATGGCGGTGATGACATCCCACCACTACAGCAAAATGGAACAAGTGCAGTGCTGGTGCAAGGCACAGCTGAGAAAGCTTCTGTTGGAAATGCCTATACTAATACGAAAGTCATCAACGACAGATACTATGATTAGATATATATATACATATATTGGGGTTATATAGGGATTATTATAGGGATAATGGAAAAAGTGGAAACTACCATATTATAATAGGGTATATACTATGCCACCCAAACTTTCCAACCTTCAGGTGCCAGTTAGACAAAGCACTTGAGCTCGACCTCACGCCGGCGTGCGAACACGGCCGCATCGCCGTCGGACGAAAGTCCGAGCGGGTCCCAGAAGCCCACAGGGGCCTGCTGGACTGTTGCTGAACAAGACATATTGTCTAGATCCTGTTGCAGCAACTCATGTCGGGTCTTATGTTGAAAAGGCACGGGGCTCATCTCAATGACTCTGCTCCAAGCAATGCCTGCACACCCAACTCGTTCTCGAAGGCGCGGAGTGGCGAAGCACTATACAGTGACCAATCCTTGGATTGGGGGAGTCATGGGATGAGGGCAAAGGTCACATGCGCGTCGTGTCTTTGCATCGTCCGAGCCAGACTGAGTGGACACGATATACTAGAAGCCAAATTCGGGCTCGCTCAACCTTTGACTCTAATTGATATTGATACATCAAAGCCCACCACACACACACACTCTCCCCTCAAACGGTTCAGGAGGTAAGCGAGATCGAGCACATGCAACCGAACCCAATCCTTGGCTGACAACATGTGATTGTATTACATGGAGACCATGACTTCCATGGGCCACAAACAAAACCCCAGAAAATCACAAATGCAAATACATGAGGAATATGTGTCAATATGCCCCACTTTTTGCTGCTTCGCACGCTACCCGAGTTGCATTTGCCAACGGCCTCAAACCAAACATCCTACAAACCCAATTACAGCAAAAGGATTTTGGTATCCCTGACGCCCGCCAAAAATCGACGCCGATGTTGTAGGTTTAGAGGCATATGATCTTGTGTGTCCCCCGAATTCAGATTTACGGCTACCAAAAAACCTTTTCATCACGTACCCTCAAACTCAAACCATCAACCGAGAAAAAACAAAAAAAACACTGAACCCCAAACCTTAAACCCCATGTAAAGGCCCATGGTCCTATGGTTACTGCCCCTAATATACTACAATATACTATCACAGCTAGTACAATATGCAACCTATATAAGGCCAAGTGTCACCCCAGGCAGAGCCAGTCAGTCCATCCTGGAAGAACATACCTGGGGGGTTGTATTAATTTAAGGGTTTAGGGTTTAGGGTTCAGGGTTTAGGGTTCAGGGTTGAGGGCTTCCCAAAATGAGGGTTAGCAATTTGGGGTTCCCATAATAAGGATACAGTATATTGGGGTCTGTATCGGGGATTCCATATTTTGGGAAAGTACCACCTCAGCAAAGTAAAGCATTTTAGAGATACTTTAGGGTTGTGTAAGGTTCTATAGGAATACATGGGGGTCTGCAGGGTCCTGCAGGGATATACTGGCAGTTCTGCCGGATTATTGTATAGAAAATGTATAGGGTTATATAGTGCGTTTAGGACTTGAGAAATTCAAAAGTCGGGCTACGGTACCCTTTGAAGAAAAGGAAAACAAAATGGAAGCTACTATTCTACATAGATCTACATAGGGCTCAAGGTTTAGGGTGTAGGGTTTAGGGTACGTAGGGAAAGGGGTCATAGAGGTATGTAAAGGGTTATGTTATGCAAAACATGTATTGGGATACATGTTTTGGGATGTGTGGGGATGTGCAACCGGGGGTAAAGTCGGGTAATCGGGAACCGGGAATCACACAAAAAATGAACGCAAACCGGATCTAATAGGACTTTACACAGCCGTGTAACTTTGCATGGAGCTTAAGCGTCATTCCTGTGCTTGCCTAATCCTACCTGTTATGATTCCATGTTCTTTTCCTTTATCCCTATATACCGCATTATTATGTAGTAGAATCCGTGTCTCTCCATGCCTGAGTTGTTTTGGCTTAAGTAAGCCGCATGGAGAAAAGGTTATAGGGGACTATATGGGGGTCATACCGGGGTTGGATCTCCCGAGCCCTAGACACTAAACCCTAAGCCCTAAATCGCGTGTCAGCGGCGGATAAGACCTGTTACTTGTCAATTCAAGCCCGGGGAGGTGCATGAAGGGATCAAAAAGACTTCGAGGTCGCGACCAGTAGGCTCGAGGGCAAGTGTCGTTTGGATTCTTCCTGCTAACGTTGACATATGACCCTCTGCCGATTCTATGCCTCATATCGTACTTCCTGTGTTGGGGTGATTTTCAATGTGGCTCCAAGCATTCGTGACGAATGGAATGCAGGCTTCTCAACAGCGTAAGATGGGAGGTCTATGTGTATTTGTGTGTGTTCAACCTGCCTTTTAGGAGAAGGGATCGTCTGAAGCCCAGTGGCCGATGATTGCAAACATCGCCAGCCTTCCGTTGGCCAACTCGGCATTAAGCTTCTTTTTGCGGACCTGCGAACACGCATTGGCTATGCTTGATTCTGCTTCATTAGATAGCGGTTCGCAAGTCAGTACTGCTTGATGAGAAACCAGTCTAGGACAGCATGTAGATTGTAAGAGGAAGCTTGTACAACCCGCCCGGATGTAATGCCATGCCTATACTGCCTTGTAGGTCCCCAACGTAAGATCTTTTTTTTGGCAATTTTCTAAGGGGTCTAAGGTCAACAATTGGCCGCTCATACACACCTTATACATTAGGTTCACTGGTAAAGACCGCCCTAAAGCGGACAAACAAGAGCTATAGTCTAAACTCCTAGTATCCCCCTTAATAACCCCGATAGTAGTTCCCTATATAATCCCCTATATAGCCCCCCTTTAAGGAGTTTAGACTATAGCTCAATTAAACCCTAACCCCTATAAACTACCCTATAATCCCAGTTTCCATTTCACTTTCCATTTTCTTTTCCATTTGATTCTCCATGATTAGGCTATACCCCCCTTTAAGGAGTTTGGACTATAGCTCGACAAGTTTTAGACATTCTCAACGGTTTCGGCCTTGACAGGCACAGGTTCCCTGGCACATTTTCCACGCAAAGCCCAGATCTATCCACTGTCATACGAGAGTTAGGTATGGTTGGGGGCCCTGAAACCCTAAACTTTCAAACCCTTAACCCTATAGCAGTTCCTACGTTCTGTTCCTTTTTCCCTATATAACCCCTATACATCCGAAATTATAATCTAGTCGCTTCCATTTTCTTTTCCAGTATCCCTAAATAAACCCCTATATAACAACCCTAATTCCTTTGCCACTGACCTTGAAACACAAGGCAAGGACAGCCTCAGGATCGGTAATGCCGGTGTTCATGATTCCGATGGACCTTCGCAATGTTGCTTACTGGGGGTTAGTAGGGAAGAAGGGAATGTAATCCCTGTATAATCCCTATATAGTATATCCCCTTACTCCCCACATTAACCCCGTATAGTCCCTATATAACCCTATATTTCTCTTTTTTCCCTTATTCCCTACGAACCCCCAGTAAGGTTGCGGGCATCGGTATTAATCACATGGCATCATTACGGGGACCCACTCCGTCACTTCGACTTAACCACCATTGCTTGTGGTTCAGGGGTTGGGCTAAAGCCTAAACCCAAAACAACAACAAAAAAGCCAACTCTCGATTCATGCATATATAGTTCGAAGTGAATCTCATGTTGGGTCATTCCCACTTATAGTAGCAGTTGCCACAACAAATAACAGGAGTTGTAATGGTCCCTTAATAAGATCTCTTTTAGGACAGTTGCTGTAGGGGGCAATGACCCAAGTCTTATGAGGTTCCGAATTAGATGATGGGCGGAACAATAGGAACATAAGAGGACCGTGCTACAATCACCATCGCCCCTTATAGGGCCAAGCGGACGTCCAACGAAAACAGTCGCCGATTTTCCAAAGGATACTCTGGTCAGAACCTATGACAGAATCCTACCTCATATATGTGAGCCATATAGTCTAAACTCCTAGTATCCCCCTGAGCAACCCCTATAATACTCCTGTCTAGAATCCCCTGTATTCCTATATAACCCCCTTTCAGGAGTTTAGAGTATAGCTCATGTGGGGTCTTGGCATCCCAAAAATGACGCTGTTTTCTTTTTTCGAAAAATATCCCTGGATCATCCTTTACCACCGCCCCTTTAGAGGGACCCCCGTTATGAGCCCTAAACCATGTTTTAAGACCTCAATGGTCCCTTGGTAAGCCTAATATCGGCCAGTAGCTCATTACCCCCTCTATAGCCTTTGTTTCCATTTCATTTTTCAATTTCTTTTCCATTTGATTGTCCATTATTGTAGTTTGAATTTTCTCTCCGTTCCGTATTGGCAGTAGCTTATATAAGAAAGTACCTCTCCCATGAAGCCTAAGCCCTAAACCCTAAAATCCTGAGACCTAAACCCTTAGCCGGGTGTCCGAAGTCCCAGGAAACCGGCTCCATAGTTACCAGGCTCATTGTCGACCTGCCAGGTGGAGTTGCTCTACCGTTTAGGAGTTTAGGGCTTAGGGGTTTAGGGTTTAGGGTTTAGGGGAAGGAAAATAGAATGGAAACCTACTACATCATGTAGGATTTCGGGTCAGGGGGACGTAGTAATTGGGTTCATCATGGAGATTCTTGGGGCCACTACGTGGCTTATGGGGTCATAGCTCTTCTTACTAAGTCTCCCTGACCCTCCAAGCAGGGTTCCATTATCAGGTCAGGGAGGTGGGTCCAGGGGATAATTATAATAACAGTAATAAAAAATGATCATAGTAATAATGATAATGATAATAATGATAATATTAATGATAACAGTAAGAATCAATACAATTTGATGGTAGTACTAATGCAAGAAATAATGATACTAATAATGGTAGAAATATTCATAATAGTAATAAGAATAGTGATAACAGTAATAATGATGATAGCAACTGGGGAACCTCAAGGAGCCTTGGGGGGTACGAGAGAGGGTTAGGAAACGCTAGTTCGAGGGACGGGGGCTTGAGATCGCTTCTTCAGTTTGAGTGTCTCTTCTTTGGCGTTGGAGCGCTTTGAACTTCAGCATTCAGGGTTGGGGTCACGTGCTTATACCAATTTTGGCCACTGTGCTTCACAGGAAATGGATACAGACATAGTTGCGGACAAAAAATGCTCTTTTGACCTCAGGGTGGAGAACCTGCGGCCCAGAGTTTCCTCATTGCACACCAAGAAAATTTGGATCTGGGCAGACATGTGATAAGTTCAAGTAGTCATAGCACCTGCTACAGCAAAAGAAGAGCAGTGGCAAAGCCGCAGTTTGACTGACTTGCTATATAACCCTTAAACTTACGGTAACCCCTATATGGTCCCAGCGTCCAGTTCATTTTTCATTTTCTTCTCCATTTGATTCTCCATTATAACCCTCATATTACCCCAATGGGTCAGTGGACCCTTGGTGCCTGACTGCAAGCCAAGGGGAGGGTTTAGGGTTTCAGGGTTTATGGATTAGGGTTCAGGGATAAGGGTTTAGGGTTTAGGGATAAGGGTTTAGGGTTTAGGGATAAGGGTTTAGGGTTTAGGGATAAGGGTTGAGAGTTTAGAGTTTAGGCCAAGGAGGGCTCCTATTATCCCCTGATAGCCTCAATGATGTAGCCCTTGGATCATCACAGGCAACTGGCCCCTAACTTCCCACCAACGTAGACCCCTGCAGACGTCCAAAAACCTGGATCCCCTACCAAAGCCCATCACAGCCCGCTATAATCCCGCAAAAAAAACCACTAGTGCATCTAAGCCCTAAACAGCCCAATTCCCTTAAAGGGAATATAGGGGTTATATAGCGATACTATAGGGACAATGGAAAAGAAAATGGAAACTACTATAGAAAAGGCCTGCTCGTTGTAGATGTTCACCTCCACGATGCCAGCGAAGCCAACAATCTGGAGCCAGCCAAAAGCGGGGACCTTTGTAGAGGGGTAGGGTTCGGGTTTGGGTATTAGGATGTAGGCTTCAGGTTTAGGACTTTGGTCTGTGAATCTTACTCTGAACTTGCTGGTGACTGGATGTGAATTAAGGACCAGGGGTGCCAAAGACTTAAATTACGAGACGGTGTAGCTGTTGGAAGGACAGCTTTCCTCCATTGCCCCGCAGCGTCAGGGCTCGAGGCGCAGGGTGTCGAATTTCATTTGTGAGGCTTCTACCCCAACGCTCACTCATGGTCCTGTGATTGTTTGAAGGATTTTTGGAAGCTGCCCCTGCGAACGTGCTCGAATAAGGCATGGGATAAGAAGGTCATACGAGCTACAGTCTTCCTCATACTCTTCTAGAGCTCATGGCATTGCAGTTTCTGTGAGACAGCGATTTACGATATGGCGTCGACAGCTCTGATTGCGGAGCCTGGAGAAAGTATTTCTTGGGCGACGGTGGCTGACAATTACAATCCCTGCTGCTAACCAGCATTACTCTTCACCATCCCTTATGCCCAGTATCCCCCACCATCTCAACGAAATGTTTGCCATTGCTGCAGCTGACACTACAACTACTACTGCAATCAGAACCAGACAATGTAGTCATGGGCACTGATATTCGTAGTTTGGGGCAAAGGGGCTTCGAAGGTCTTCCTTTACGGCTTTGGAAACCACTCAACGCCGCAGTTCTGCTCCGAGTCGCTTTGCTGATGGCGCTAAGACCGTTGGGCATGTCTGCGAACCTGCGTGAAACTGTTGGGGGAAGCAAACAAACGTAAATCAACGTAAGCGGTGACATGGAAACACCATCTCTTGAGCAGTCGTGAGCAGTCGACCCATCCACACACGTTGAAGAAAGTCGAGATGCAACTTTTCAATATCTGAATCTTTTTTGCTCTGTGGCTAGAAGCTTGCAAGGCTTCCAGCTTCAAGCAGCTCTGCATCCGTTCGGGAAGCTGAACCCCTATGCTCCGGACTTTACAGGGCAAGTTTCCGTTTCTCCGCGGCATGGGCAAGGCACGAGATGAAGGAAATGGGAATCTTCGGAGGACCGAACGCGCGTGGGTCATATCCCACATCAGATAATTAGGATTCAGGGTTTATGGTTTAAAAGGCCTTTGCAAGACAAGACGATGCCGCGTACCTCGTCAACAGAACAGAGAGACCACGCTGCGCAGAAGGACCAATGTAGGGTACTAGCAATACTACTAGCAGCTGTGTATGCCGTGGCGGATCCTCCGCACACGCTACTGAGCTATGCACCCTGCAGCTGTAGAATCCTGAATGCATACCCTTGTTGGAAACCGAAAATACGCAATCCATCAGGCAAATGGACTCCCATATCCCTAAATGTCCCCATACATCCCCATATTTCCATTCTGCATCCCTGTGGAGGTTTCAGTATCCGGTCCTTGCACCTGTCCTCCAGGTTTGAACATGGCCCTCTCTGACCTCCTTCTCTCTCTCACACAAACACCCGCACTCTGGAGCAAAAGAATGCTCAAGCTTTGCTACAATCCTTCTACAGACTCTAAAAACCTGCACCTCTAAACCTAGACCTTGAACGCCTTAAGCCCTAAACCTCTATACCCTAAACCCATTATAGTAGTTTCCATTTTCTTTTCCATTATCCCTATATATACCCATTATGGTAACTTGAATTAAGTTCCTTAACAGCAACCTACCTTCAACGCCTTAAGCCGGTGACCCCAAAACAGGTAGGACCGTTACATTAAGTCTGCCCGGTAGCTTGATGTCCAAATACTTGGACAGGTATCCCGGGAAGCGCCAGTACTCCGGGAGAATATACCTAGCCAGTTTAAGGTTTAGGGATCCAAAGTTGAGGACAAAGGGTTGCCAAATGTTCGCAAATCCACAGGGTTTCCATAGGGCATAGGAAAAGCAGAAACCTTACTAGTGGTCAGTGGGGGATAACGGAACATAATCCCTATATGCTGCCTCAAAAAAGAAACACAAAGCATTCCCAAATGAGGGCCAGGCACCCAATTGTCGCAAACATTGCCACGCGGCCGTGCCTGTTAGGCTAAACTTAGCTAGATGTGGGGGTGTATAGGGTTTATATAATGTTTGGGGTTTAGAGTCTGGGATGTGACAGATGGTCATGAACAAGACGCCCAAGCATAGTCTTCCCTTGTAGCCATGTCTCAGACCGCCTTTAGAGAGGTAAATTACCCTAATCGTCACCACGCTAGAAACCCATCTAGAGTTCTAATCTAAGGTTAAAATGTACCTGCTATATACCCTATATGTAACCTTAAGGGTTCCTAGAGTCCCCCTAAAAAGGCCTAAAGGCCCAAATATACCCTTTGCAGAATTTTAGATTAGAATCCAGTGCCTAAGTGACTTCAAACTCCATCATTGTGATGTGCGGCAGCCGGGGGATTGTCACTGCCAAGCCCACAAAATATAGAACTACAGGGGTTATAGGTTATAGAGGTAATATAGAGGTTATATAGGGATAATGGAAAATGGAAACTACTACATTATGATAGGGTATACTTTTGGGGGGATATAATAATATAGGGGTATATGCCAAATTTAAATTTGAAGAGTCCCCGCAGAAGCTTCTGTCCGGGCTCTCAATCACCCCGCACAATCCCGTATCCCAAAAAACACTGGGAGGCTCCCCTTTTGCAAGTCCCACCGTGTTAGGAAGTCTATCATGTTGAGGTCTATTTCTTGAGCTAGCCTTTACCATACTTCAGAAAAATGCAGAACCATAATGACAGTAATGATTTGGGCCCCGCAAGTAGTCCCGGGAAGTATTTATTCACCATTAAGCCCCCTAAACGCTAAACTCTGAACCCTAAACCCTGAACCCTTAACCCTAAACCCTAAATGGAAAAACCCTCAACCCTAAACCCTTAACCCTAAATTCCTCCCAGACACTTCAGCTCAACCTCGCGCCGGCGCTGGAAGTCCGCAAGGTTGCCACTAGAGGCCAGGCCAAGGGGATCCCAGTAGCCCACCTCAAAGGTGTATTTTATATAGTATAGGGTTTAGGGTTTAGGGTTTGTTTAGGGTTTAGGGTTTAGGGTTATTATAATAGTACCCTAGGGATCTGCATATTAAGTAGTATATTATAGTATACTATCATAATACATTATATGGTATATGATATAGTATATTATGTAGTATATTCTAGTATATCATAATATATTAAAGTATACGTATTGATTATAGTATATTGTAACATATTATAGCATATTTCAATATATTGTAGTATATTGTAATATAGTATAATAGTACCGTAGGGATCCAAAAGCCCCAATGTAGGTAATATTTACAGACTTTAGGGCCCAATGTAGGTAATATTTATATACTTGGATCCCAGGGGTATGTTGTAGTATATTATAGCATATTTCAATATATTCTAGTATATTGTACTATATTGGGAGGTTATAGTCCGCCTTATGTAGATAGAACATGGGGTGTATTGGAATCTTATTAACATATACCCAAAGCCATGCTCTATCTACTGAAGGGGGACTAATTATTGTCAGAAATGCCAGTAACCCACCTTGAAGGATTCTGCGGCTTAGGTGCTTGGGATTTTGATGGTTTAGGGGTGCATTAGGGGTGTATGGGGGTCCCGATTTGGGTCTCAGGAGTTTGCGAGCTTTTGGGGGTTTGGGATGTGGGGGCTCAGAGGTTTGGCGCTTGAGGTTTCCAAGCGCTCACATCGAGGGCCTAAGGCTCCAAGCACTATGAACGGCAGAAGGAACTTGTGCAACAGCCCGCAGACCACCGGTAAAAGTGTAAACCTAAGCCCTAATCACTAATCCTCTGGCGGGTATTCGCAAAAATCTGCATCCCCCATGATCTCCCTTATGTACCCCAAAATTCTGGGCCCGTGTTACAACAGGGGGGCCACTACCAAGCGGCCGCTACTCTGTGGGAAAGCCTCAAATAAAGCCAAGCTGCAGGGGGCTGAACACCTGTCTCGGTCTCAAAAGCTCGAAGAGGCGACTCCGTATAGTTGGCCCTCAGATGGGGCGATGGGGGTTCCTGTAAGGGGGAAGACAGGGGGATGATAGGGGGTATATTAAGGCTATATAGGGGGTATGTTGGGGTTGTATAGGGTTTGGGTTTCCAATAATCAGGGGGAGTCCTCTTGGGGAGTCCCTATGATACGGATTAGAATATTTTGGGGTCTATACTGAGTCCCCCTACTTTGGGAAACTACCAGACATGATGGGCTTCAAGGCTATACCGGGATAAACGCTAAACCCTTAAACCCTAAACGATATTGGGGCCCCCTAAGGCTATAAGAATGATGTAGGAAGCATTCAAATGCCGAGCTAGCCATTGAGTACGCTTTATCTCGGTTGTGATTAAGTAATAACTATATGGAGGAAACCATATTGACTACTATATATATATATACCCATTATGGCAACTAAATTTAATTTCAGTAACAGGCCAAAGCAGAGTCTCCATACTGCGTAGTAGAATCCCAAAATGGCTACACGGCTGTAATGTTCCAAACTAGCTGCCTCTCGTAGTCCCATTCAAGTCTAGGTCCATCATTTTGGAATGCTCAGTCAAAAAAGTCCCAGCGTCCAGTCGCCCCATGCGGAGCCTGCATGCGGCGCATCAGGAAAGATGGGTTAATAAGGGGGATAACTGGGGTTACTATATAAGTTATTTGGGTTTTAAGTATGAGCCATAGTCTGAACTCCTAGTATCCCCCTTAATAACCCCTATAGTACTCCCCTATATAATCCCCTATATAACCTCCCTTTAAGGAGTTTAGACTATGGCTCATAAAATTACTAAGTCCCCCTGACCCCCCAAGTAGGGTTTGCGGTCTCGAGGTGGTCAAGCAATGCTGGATCGGGGAAATCTACCGTCTTTGACACCTGAGTCCCGAGGGCATAGGCATCCAAGGGAGCGAGATTTGCGTCCACATCACTAGTTTAGGGTTTAGGGTTTGGGGTTTAGGGTTTAGGCGAGATTTCCTACGTTCACACCACTACCCAAAAACCCATAGAGAATGACAACACGACTCGCAGGTTTGTCCGCGGGTTAAGGGTGTTATCAGGTCAATACACTGTGTCCCAACTAACTAAGGATTACAGAGGCTGCATGAACCATAGTCTAAACTCCTGGTATCCCGGATCCCCCTTAATAACCGCTATCATACTCCCATGTATAATCCCCTATACAACCCTTCAATGAGGTGACATGTTGGGAAGCTCATGCATGCAGCCTTCCCCTCGGCTGCCTGTCTTCCCCTAGCTGGAACTAGCCGAGGGCCCACGGATTTAGGCTTACAGCAAAAGATGCTATGCAAACCTGCGTAGGTGGATTACGATTTGCTCGCCCTCTCTAGTAGCAACTAAAAGAAACTATACGATATTACCTGCGTTACCTGTCGTTGAACTTGAGTGTTATCCTTACCTCAGGGCAAAGACGGTCCTGGCCCGCTACCTCTCTGTAAGTTTGAGCATCTAGCTGGTTATGAACTCCCCGCGATGTACAAAACACCTGCTGTGGTACAAGCTTAGGCGGGTCGGATTCCTGGTTCAGGTGCTGAAATTACCCACATGCGTTTTTCCTTCTAGGCCCAAGACGTGTTGCAGGGGCAGATGCCCAATTTTACGTGATGCCATATCAGTGTCCATACTTTTAGGGGGTTGGGCAGGTCATTAGCAGGTGTGGGTGATTACAAGGGCCCTAAACCCTAAACCCTAAACCTACAACCCTAAACCTTACACCCCCAAACCCTAAAAGATCCTAGAAGGCTTAGACGGTCATGTCAACAGCTGACGAGCAAAGGTTGGCCTGTCAGACCATCCTGGTAGAACATGCCTCAGATTTGCCGCTGTTTTAATGTTTAATGTTTTTTGGGGTCTTGGGTTTTGGGTTTTGGGTTTAGGGATCGTTTTTTTACAGCCCCGGGGACTCTTTTCGGGATTGGGTTTAAGATTTAGGGTTTTGGGTCTTGGGTTTAAGGTTTTTTCGGTTTAGTTGTTGTGGCTGTTGGCACATGGCATATCAATCTAATGCTCCTGTTGATTAACATGCTTTCAGGGCCTGAGGGGGCGTGACACACACAAGAGAACGAAGAAGACCAGAAAAGAGATGCCTAGAGTTTTGCGGTCTCACAATTATCGGTTAGATTAGGGTTACATGGGAGCTATATAGGGATAATTAAAAAATGGAACTACTACTATATAATAGGGCATACATTGGGGCAATGTTGGGGTTCTGCAAGGTCTCACCAGTATCCCTCCGTGTCTGATTGCCCTTTTTAGTGGTTCAGCTGCACAAGTGCCAGGGAAAAAAAATCATGAAACGCTGGGTCCCAACTCTGGTTGAGGTACACACATACATGCTTTCCGCCGGTATCCATCCGACTGAGAAACCACAGCCTAATCCGTGCAAGCCACCGAACCCCTGTACTTCAAGCCCGAGAACGTGAATCTCAACCCTTGACATAACATCAGGCACCAGCATCCGCACCCATTGTTCAATGTTACGTACAGAGACGGAACTTACAACCCTGCGGACACCTGAATCAGAATCTCATAGCCATATGAGCCATAATCTACAACTCCTAGCACCCCCCGTGATAACCCTTATAGCAGTCTCCTATAGAATCCCCTGTAATTATAACCACCCTTCAAGGAGTTTAGACTATGGCTCATATCCTATGAATCCCTACCAACCCCTTTGAAGGAACCCAGAGCAAATCCAGAAAAGCTGCCGATGATGGCCATCATGGCCAGGCGGCCGTTTGCAAGCTCCTGCAACACTTGGGGGTTTCACGAAATTAGGTGTACCTTTTTGGGGATCCCCATAACAAGGACTATAGCATTTTCTGGTCTACATTGGGGTCCCCCTATTTGGGAAACTACCACTTCGCGATGTGGTTCCTTCATGGCCGTTTTAGCCTGAACTTATACCAATTCGGGACTCTTTTCTAAATTCACCACCGTTTGGGGTGAGGTCGATCATAATTTGCAGCGGTTCTCCCCCAAGCTCGGAGGTTCATGGGCAAATTTTAGGGTTTAGGCAACCAGGTGGGCATACTGAACCCATAGATTGTAGAATTATAGAGGTCCTGAGAAGTGAAGATTGCCTTCATGCACCATGGATATGTGGGAGTTGCATTTAAGGATTACAACTGAATAGTACGGGCCCCTTTGATGTTTTTTGCAGGGAGCTGTGCCCGCAGAGCTATGCAGCATTCTGGTTCTGGTGCTAGTACCCTGACGAAACAGAACATATGCCAGATGATAGCCGGTATGCTGCGACGAAACGCTGGCGACATGAAAGGGTCAGAGATTTATTGAAGGGCGCCCTTTCTGATCAGCTGGACGTTTCTCAAGTCCCCTGTTTTGAGGCCAAACGCATAATCTTTGAACCAGCCCCAAGATTGTAAAGCCCTTGTAGCACCTGGAATCGGGCTCAGGGGCGCGCATTCCTTTTTGATGCTGAAGGCGTGTCTTTCTCAACAAGAACATGACTTGCAGAAAAAACCAAACTATCTTGAATCAAGCGGCAAGACCCAAGAACCTGAGACCCGAAGCAAATTGCAACCAAAGCCTCAGCATGAAGTCCTAGAGACCCCTGACTTGCAGGATGCCATCATGTGATCCAGCAATTACACCAGAAAATGCATATCCGCCTGAACACCAAGACCAAAGACCCCCAAACCTGCAAGCTGCACACCCTACCCCCCCCCCGCCCCCCTACAGGCCCCCGAATAGCCTCTTTGAAATCTTGTGCGGCTGTAGATGTGAGTTCGATACTGAACCAGAAGCCCCTAGATCCACGACAACAAGCATAATGCAGCTGACTCAAGAAAGCGGCTCCCCGCAATTCGGAGCCTGATTGATGATCTAAGAAAACCAACGGCTCAAAGGAGGGCAGTACTTACACTCCCGGAAACTAACATGGAAACCCAAAAAGGGCCCTATAAAGACTACAGTCCCTCAAAAATGGGGCTATATGGGTTTCTATGTTAGTTTGGGGGAGTGTAGTACTTCTGGGATTATTCCAGGTCCGAGCTGCTGCGTTCAGCTTTTTCTTCTTCGCCTCCGGGTCAGCAGAGGTGAGGACGTACCAGCCAAAGTCGCCTACAGTTCAGCGCTTGCTTGGAGGCTGGAAAGGCTTTTTATACTTCAGCCGTGTGCTCTACAAGGTGTGGGGCAAGGCCTACAGTAGACTGAGACCCTGAGTTTCTAACACGAAAAATGTAGCCAGAATATTCAAAATACACATGTCGAACGGCCTAACGTCACCCGTTTAGGGCTCATCTTTTCAACACGCTGCTAAGATCGCATCTCGGAACATGTTCCCCTAGTACAGCCTGCATGGCTACCTAGGATTTTCCTGAGGAATTGCTCCTAAACCCTAAACCCTAGACCCTAAACGCTAAACCTCAGACCCTAAACCCTAAACCCTAGATCCTAAACCCTAAACAGCAGACCCTCAACCCTAAACCCCAGACCCTGAACCCTAAACCCTAGATCCTAAACCTGAAACCCTAGATCGTAGAATAAACCCTAAACCCTAAACCCTAACGCTCTGGCACCCTGAGGAATCCTGTTGCCTAGCTAAAGGTAACATTGGCTGTGGTGGAAGTAAGGTACTCTATCCCATACCGGCTGTAACAAGTGCTAGTCAATAAGCAACCCTAAACCCTAAATATAGTTACATACTATTTTCCATTATCCCCATCTAACCCCTTATACAACCCTACGTAGCCTTATATAACCCCTATACACACCTGTGGGCTCACACCGACAGAAGCACAGAAGCTGCTAGAATTGGCGGCGCTCCTCTGGCACTATGGTCCCCCTTAAGTAGGTAGAAGATGGCTTCCCCCAGACCCCATGTTCTACTTAGGGTTTAGGGTTTAGGGTTTAGGGTGTATCTACTTAATAGGCTATAGGAGCTAACAACCTGAGGGGCAGCATGGGTGGGATACACACGCATTTCAGGCTGATAGTTGTTTTGGACTTTTTTGTTGTGGTCTTCTTGTACAACTAGTTGTGAAACAGCTTACTTATAGCGTTGAAGTTGGTTTTCCTGTCGCCCTTGACCTAGTTTCAGACGCCACCCCCAAAGTATCCAGGCTTCCAGACCTTCCACACACGCACGAACCTGAAAAAGCTTCCATGTAATCCAGAAGCCACCTGTGTGTACTCCTTACGCAAGAAGGGCTCCTAAGCCCGTAATCTTGCCGGGAGGAAACCCTAGAGATCCCTGTATACGCCCAATTTCGCTAGTAAGCGATCGATGAACCCTGAATACTAGCTTGCATTTTCTTCTTACGTTGCATATAACCCCTAGATTAGCGCTATACAATCCTATATACTCCAGTAGTTTGCATTCTATTGTCCATTATCCTTATATAACCCCTACCCAGAGCCCTAAACCCTGAACCCTAAACCTTCTAAGCCTAAACTCTAAACCTTGAACCCTGTATAATCCATAGTCTAAACTCCTAGTATCCCCCTTAATACCCGCTATAGTAGTCCCCTACATTATCCCCTGTAGAACCCCCCTTTAAGGAGCTCAGACTATAGCTCATATCCTATAAATCCCTAAACCCCAAACCCTGAACTCTACATAATATAGTAGTTTCCATGTTCTTTTCCATTATCCTTACTTAATCCCTAAATAGCCCCCATAAACCCCAATATAATCCCTAATGCCTAAACCGGACGGAAGTCAAGGTGCCAGGTCGTCCGCTAGCAATGTCGGAGCCTGCTCCGCGGCTGACCTGCCGCACTTGAGTAGTGTTTTTTTGGTGGTTGAAGCTAGTAAGATTATATTCCTTATATAAAATACTATACCCCAAAAGGAGGATAGAATCTTACTCTATAATGGGTACCATAGTATCCCCCAATTAAATACTACTCACTTGAAGCTTCAGGTTGGCTGAGTACCACAAAGGGCTATTGTAGGTAGGGTTTAGGGTCTAGGGTTTGGAGTTGAGGGTCTAGGGTTTGGGGTTTAGGGCTTAGGGTTTTGGGTTTTTGGTTTAGGGTTTGGGCTTTAGGATTTGGGGTTTAGGATTACTCTTGTGGGTAAAATTAATAACTCCATAATTATTTAGCCGCTTTCAAGGTAATTATAACCTGCACTTAGAAGTATTAAGCCAATGAGCCCCTTGAGTCCCTTGGTATGGCTATCATCGGGTTGTAAGGTTTCGAGTTTAGGGTTTATAACTATTACCCTTAACCAACAAGCAGGGTCAGGTTTTTGGGTCCGGGAGTTTGGATGGCTTTATGTTCTGAGAGGATTTCGGACCCCAAATGAGGCCCTTTCGATAATCATATGCGAGAACACGGTCCTAGTTTAGGGACTTGGGGTTACGAAAATGCTGTCATTATTGATTTGCTTGTTCAGGTAGCCCTGCCTGGACAAGGAGTCTAAACTTTGAGCCTTAAGGTCGGGATAAGGGCTAAGGATCTGAGACTTCAGACACCCCGAAGGACCTCGTAAGTTGTTGATCCGGTAATGTAGACCTGTGATTAATAAACCCCCTCCGTTTAAGGGCATTAATACTGGGATCCCTAATATAATCCCTATCTATTAAGGCGCGGGGGGTTATTTATCATGGGTCTACATTAACCCAAACCCCAAACCCTAAACCCTAGCTTTATTAATCGTGGGTCTACATTATGAGTATGTAGAGGCCAAACACAGCAGGACGGCTGTGCCCCCAGCTGAACTCGGTGACTAACCTCAGGGCCCTAAGCGAAGCTGTCCATCCCATAGAACAAGCTAGAGTGGTTTAGGGTTTAGGATTTAGGGTTTAGGGTTTAGGATTTAGGGTTTAGGGTTTAGGATTTAGGGTTTAGGGTTTAGGATTTAGGGTTTAGGATTAGGAGGAGCTAGATGCCCCACCCAAGATTTAGGGGGTACCTTTAAAGGGGGTAATAGAGGGCTTAGGGTCTCGCAAAATTAGCGGTACCTTTTTGGGGGTCCCATAATAAGGATTAGAATATATTAGGGTCTATGGTCCATATTGGGGTCCTTCCTGACAAACCAGCACTTTGAGACAAAGCGCCCAGCATCCGCAACCCACAACTGGATTCAAAATCCTGAACACCTCATGCTAGATGTCCTAGATTTAAACCATCTGTCACCAGACCCTGACCCCACATCCTGAATCCCAAGCTCCCAAGTCCGAAACTCCAAGCCCCAGAAGCCCTAAACATGCCTTACGCCCGGAACCCTTAGCTGAAAAACACGATCCCTACGCTGCAACTCCTTAACACCCTATCAAACTCCAGTTTCCATTTGATTTTCCATTTGGTTCTCCGTTATGTGTGGTGATTTTGGCTCCTGTACCGCCCCCGCACCCCCTGGAGGCACCTCGCACCAGGCCATCCAGAAGAGGATTTGAGTCCAGCCACCTGAAACACAAGTTTTGGTGCACAAAGGGTCCGGGGCTTATGAGCCTAGAAACTTAGGGTTTGGGGCGTGGAGTTTGGCGTTCATGGTTCATGCGTGAGGGTATATAGGCTTTAGAGGCAGAGTGCGTAGAAAATAAGATATATCCTGGAAGAAACTTAAATCTCGCTGTGTTGGGGACCACATGGTCCCTGTTTTCCTTCAGTTGGCTCGTCTGACTTCAGGATCTCTGCGCCTGTCGCCTTCGTTTTGCAGTGTTGAGCTTGAGTGGGGGCGTGGCACTTCAGGAAAGGACTAGGAAACCATGAGGATCTTGACACGGAAGGTTATACTGGGGTTATATGGTAGTTTCCATAAATAGGGGACCCCAATATGGACCCCCAAATACTATAGTCCTTACTATAGGGACCCCCAAAATGGCACCCCTAATTGTTGGAAACCCCCATGTTGTGAAAATGGAAAATAAGATGGAAACTACGAAAGTATATGTATATATAGGTAATTTTGGCAAAATGGAAAAATGGAAACTACTAAAGTATATTGGGGTAATATTGGCAAAATGAAAAATAAAATGGAAACTACTAAAATATATTGGGGTAATATTGGCAAAATGGAAAATAAAATGGAAACTACTATTCAGGGTTTAGGATCTCCACAGCAATGGCCTAGCCTCGAGTATAGACGGAGATCCGCCCTATGGTCCCCCTTAAGTAGGTGGAATATGGGGTGTATGGGGGGGATCTTAGTAGAATATACCCAAAGCCATATCCTATCTACGTATGGGGGACCATACTTGCGTTATCCTTCAAACGAACATGGAGCCAGACTCTCAAAACACCAAAACTGTCCTTGCAGGGGGTTACCAGCTCAAAGGTTTCATGTTGCGGTTTAGGGTTTAGGGTAATATAGATTTGTGGAATTACCCCTCTAAACTAGGACCCGTGCCCAAGAGGATGTAATTCTCAAGCCTAGAATCCCTGTGTAGGATTTGGATCTAGGGTTTAGGTAGCTTCTGATCGTGGAGGGGGAAGGTCATGTTCCTGTCGGTGCCCTTCTCGGAACATGGCATCACATCTGGTCATGATGGCTCCTTCTCTAAAAATTAGAAGAGGGCTTTGGGGTGCATTATTTTACAACTTTATATGGATACAACAAAGATAATTTTTGCTAAATATTCATGCTTCTACATTGCACAACTCCTAGCAACCCTTATTTAAGCGCAGTTTGCACTTCATGTTAGGTTGTCCTTTCCTTGCGGCTACCAAATACATTGTACCCTAAACCCTTAACCCTATACCTTACCTTGCCATTTTACAATAATTTCGGTACCTCAAACTCAGCCAATGTTGGAATATTTCCTACACAACACCACTAAGGCGAAGGTAAGTAGAGTGAGGTCGTCATAATATGCCCAGCATCACTCAAAAGCCCCCCAAACCCAAAGCTTCCTTACTGGCGGTTAGTAATTAGCGAGTAAGGGAGCATACTATGTAGGGCAGGGAATATAAGGTAGGGATTGTATTCCCTTATTCCCTACGAAGCCCCAGTAAGCTTGAAAAAGGCCTGCAGGAACCTTCGAGATGGCTGCCAAGCCATTTGGGATGTCTGCGAACTTGAGGCCGCTAGCGGGATCCAGGTAACCTCACCGCAGTTGGGGCCGTCAATTCTATATAGGGCCCCAGGAATTAAAGTCAGAATAGGGTCTTGGGGTAAGTTATGCTGGACGTATATAAGGGTTTTGAGGGAAAATGTTGGTAATAGCCCTCTACAGTACCCTAGACCCCAATGCCCTAGTGAGGTCCAGGAACCATCAGAGAAAGCAAGGCCATTTCCCTTTTCATCAGGAGTGCTTTTCCACTCCGCTGAGGTAGACTTGGTGTTTGGCTCTGGTGTCCTAAGCATTTTTTTGACAGGAGCTTATTGCTCATGAGAGCAACTGGAGTCTGTTGTGGAATACTGCGGAGTCCTAGTTGGATTTAGTGTTTGAGATATTTGGTGGTTTCCCAAAATTAGGGGTACCTTTATGGGGGTCCCAATAATAAGGACTATAGTATTTTGGGGTCTATATTGGGGTCCCCTTATTTTGGGAAACTACCATTTAGTGTTTGAGATATTTACTGTGATGAGCATATAGGTTCTGGAGGAACGGCAGGCGACGCCTTGGAAGTTTCGACTCTGTTTGCTGGAGGTTGCTTACATGCCATTCGAAAACTGCCGTGGCCCAGCATTGTGCAAGCATGGGCATGATCTTCGACGCAAAGCTTCATGTCACGATTGCCGTCTACGACCCCCAAGCTCTGCTACTAGGTAGCTGATGGTCGCCCATCTTCAGGCTCTGTTCTACCGTTGATGGATGAAATCTAGGGGCCCTAAACAACTGTAATTTCTGGGACTTTAGGGACTTTAGGTGGTGCAAGATTCCATCCATCAACAGTATGGGAAGAAACCACTTCATCAGTTCATGGACGTAGATATATACCTCAAATAGCAATAATTTGGACAATGTAGCCCATCCCGCGATAGTATGCATTTCGATACGGGTCATGTGGGACGTTGGTGGGATATACAGGGCTTGGGCATGACAACACTACTCATCTACCTATGGTATATATACACATATGTATCTATATATATACACACACGCTCAAAAATCCGTCCACTGCATACGTCCTGGAGGCACACCGAAGCTCTCCAGAACTGAATCCTAGCACCCTAGCCCCTAAGCCGTGGATTGAAAAAACCTTTGCACTTCCCTCCGCCCGGGCCTGGCCACTTTCCGGCAATCTCTGGAGTAATGTATCCTGGGTCAGCGGGGGCTCATCAACTGCCAAGGTGCAGACAATTTACGGCTTGGGCTCAGGGGAAAAAAGTTGATCCTTCGCACAGACATGCAGGCCCCTGAAACGCCATAAGTGTCTTGCTATTCTAGCTTGGACGCCAAACAGCCTAGCTGTCCATCAAACCCTGCACAAACCATACCAGCTTGGTAAGCACGATTGCGATCCTCTAAGAGACCCTCTGGACAGGGAGGTCAATACTGACCGAAAGAAACCAAAGAGGCAATTCAAGACTCCTCCAAAAGGCAAGCTGCACACCGAACGCAGTTGATGTTTGGGGCATCTTGTTTATACTGACTTAACCCATTTCATTGAAAATTATGACACCATTTTCGGATCCCTTGTTATGACCATAAGCCAGTCACTGACCCGGGAAATATCCAAATCCCAAATCTGCAGTCCGGAGCCTGAACCGTAATTAACTCCCAAGCCCTGAATTGGAAACCTTCGGGCCTTTACACGAGTAGTCCTAGCAGAAGTCATACTCTTGATGCTATAAATCCTGCATGACCCCACTATACTATAATACCATAATTCCCAAGCTGTATGGTACTTGGGGTCACGCAGGGTTTCTAGTAATCCCTTCCCTCTAATATTAAACACTCCCAACCCCCCCTAATATTAAATACACATTAAAAAATACAACCGTAATGGTAATAGTAGGGGGAGGGATTATTCCCTATTCTAATGTAGTAGTTGCCATTTTCTTTTCCATTATCCCACCTAACCCCTAAACCCTAATCCCACCTAAACCCTAAGCCCTGAATGGTATCCACCGTAGCCCCTCCCCAAGAAAGACTAGCAAGGCCAAAGCTCCCATGGTAGCAAGCATGGCAATTCCTTGGCTGTGGGCTGTAAGGGCGTTTAGGGTTTACCTAAACCCAAAAATATGTGAAATAATAGCCCTAAACACATAATCATAGCGATAGGGGCCATTTGTTGACATACTGTTGGGGTCCAGGTAGGGCTTAGGTTTAGGGTTTCAGGGATAAGGAAATGGAAGCCACTACATGACTTGGAATTACATAAGAGCATTGCAGTTCCATCCGGTCTTTTCGATTTTCATGAATAACCTTTGCGGATCAGGGATTTAAGGCTTGTGTCGTTGGAGTTAGGTTGGGTTGTAATGAATTGTGAAATTCTGTCAGAACGTGGCATTTAGGGTTTGGGGTTTAGGGGGGCATCTATCTTTCTTCAGAACTCGAATCTATGCAATGCGCTATGCTAATTGGCCGGCAAGCCCCTGAAATAGACCCTGAGCCCTAAAACCAAACAAAGGGGACTGACAGAATCGTTCTTGTTCTCAAACTTTGCACCCCAAACCCTAACTCCTGAACCCTAACCCTGACGCGACTATATAACCCCTATATAACCCTATGTCTTATAGTGGTTTCCATTTTCTTTTCCATTATCCCTATAGAACCCCTATATAACCCCTATACCTTACTTATTTCTCAGCATCCCAGGTGCGCCCGTGCTTAAGCTCCACGGAGCGCCGTCGCTGGAAAGCCTATCCAGGCACTGTCTTAGGTTCTGAGTTTTCAACAAATGATTAGGGTTTGCTAGGGTAGGTTTGGGGGCCTTTTGGGGGGGCCCTATAAAAGTTCTTATGGCTTTGTAAGGACTATGTAGGACAATCAGGGTAACAAACCTTAAAGAATCAAAGCCACACCTGTTTGGAGGTTGGAGTTTGAGGTTTTGAGCTTGAGGCTTAGGGTTTGGGATTACGGTTTCTCAGATTCAGATTGGGGTTTGGGGGTTAGAGTCAGTTAAGAAACTCCTCGTGAGGTTCATCCCTGTGTCAGCATGTATCTTCTACAGTCTTCAGGCTCGACGAGTGAGGATAGAAGTATAGCTTGGGAATTGCGGAGATCACCGCAACAATGCCAATATCGTGTTGACGCTGGTGGGATGATGATGGCGAACATTGCAATGTAGATAGCGATGCTGCTCATGGTCATCGACATGACAGGAAAGAACTAAATAGCAGGCAAACTGAGGAGGGTTCTTGGCCACGATTTCTTTGTGGTGGTGGCGGCAAAATGTGTCCATACCGAAACAAGTCAAAGAATGAATGAACGCCCGTGATGCCTGTCGCCTAAGGCTACCTGTCGCCTAAGGTTAGAATGTTTAAGGCCTGCAAGCATATTGGCAATGACTAGGCATAGAGGGCAAAAGTAATGAGGCTGACTGTTGCCCCCTAGGCATTTTCTAGATCTTTCTGAGATTAACTACCAAACTCCCACTGTGCACAATCCCCTGAGCTGACCTTCGCCTTCTGCAAGGAAAATCTAGCGCAACCTGGCCTTCGAATACAGTCTTCATCACGCTAATCCGTATTTACTCCTCTATAGTCTAAACTTCCAGAATCCCCCCTTAATGACCTTATTATACTCCCCAAGCTAATCCCCTATATATCCAAATTTCATGAGATATTACCCAATATAATCCCTGATATAACCCC